AAGACTATGGTGTCCTTGTGATATAACGTTTATTTACACAGAAGAGGTTTAAAGACTCTTGCATGGCAAATCTAAAAAAATGTGGCATAAACATGGCAACTGGGAAACACTGGCCTGTGAGCTCTCCAGTTGGAGAACAGCCTTTACCAAAGGTGTCATGGGCTTTGAAGACACTCAAACTCAGGATGCAAGGGAGAAACGTGCTAAGAGGAAGGCACGCTTGGCAAATCCACACCGTGATCAACTCCCGCCTGGAAACCAATGTCCCCACTGTGGAAGGACGTGTGGATCCAGAATTGGCCTCCACAGTCACTTACGGACTCACTGTTAAGACCGTGTTCATGGAAGACAATCCTACTCGGCTATGAGTGATCACCAGATCGAAGAAGAAGAAGAAGAAGAAGAAGAAGAAGAAGAAGAAGAAGAAGAAGAAGGTGCTCGCAGCATTGATACCCCAAAAGGATCTTGCTTCTCCCATAGCTCCAACCTTGGATTCAAACAGAAATCAAACATGTGGCTCTGACTTTCTTCTCAGCTTGCTGCCTGCAACATCACTGCCAAAAGCCCATCAACTCTAAAATTCTGATCTTGTCTTCAAACTAACTCAGAGCTGAGGGAGGGGCCTGTCCCAAGTTCCATCTGCCACAGAGTCCCCTCTCTCTGGCTTTCCTGGTGGCCTATTACCTTCCCTATGTTTTTGGTTAATGGCTGATCTCCCAGGTCATTTCCTGCACACGGGAAGTTGGTATGGCCTGTTATTTTAATGCTTTGCCAAATCCAGTGTCTGGCAGCCAATTTTAACAATCCAGGCATCAATTAAGTTCTAGCACCTACCAGTCCCAGGAATTTAGGGGAATCTGGCACTCACAACTCATAACATTACTTTAGGAACATTTGTTGGCAACATATGTTTGGCATCTTTGTGTGTGTGTGTGTGTGTGTGTGTGTGTGTGATAGATAGATAGAGAGAGAGATTATGATATAAAGTATTGCAGCCGATAGAGAGAGGTTATGATAAAGTATTGCAGCAATTCCACTGGATCGTTGAAGCTTTGGCAAGCCCTAGCAACCAGCTGATCCTTGATGCTTGCAGAGACCCCTGTGCTGCACTTTGAAGCCCCAACAATCAGCTGATAGTTGGGGCTTCAAAGTGCCTTTCAAAGGGTTCTGAGGGTGCAACCTCCTTTTTGCCCCAGCTGTGACTTTACACACCTGATAGGGCAGGGTAGAGGTTCTTCACTTCTTCTGTATACTATAGCATAGTATTGGATTGAAATTTGAAGCTAGAGTTCCTGGAGGATGGAATTTTGCTCTGTTAAGAGGGGACACTCCTGGAGGAGGAATGGGTCATGGGGAGGCTTGTTCTCACCAATTCCTCTTTCCTCCTCTGCAGTCCACATTCTTCTCTGGGCAAACTTCTGGAACGGGGTGGGCAGTGGTGGCTGCAGGCAAAACTGCAAATCCTCACCTTCCTCCCTCCCTGTAGTGCTACCAAGGCAGGACTTCAGGACAGAAGTCAAAACTCATTTTAGGGGGGAAAGCAGACTTAGGACACAAATGTGATAGGAGCAGGGAAGCAGAAAAACTGGAGTTTGTGGTAGATTTTTATTGTTGTTGTTAAATCACTCCTAGGGCCTGAGAACCTCAAATTGATTTTTGGTTGGAATTTTTAATAGGGTTCAGCTGAAATGAGTTCAGCTGAAGTCTGAGCCAGATTCCATTGTCCAGTTATTGTCTGCCTGGGAAGCGGGAAGCTGATCTTGGCATCCTAAGGAAGAAGCATCAGAAGTATGATGTTCTCACATTGGCCTCTGGAAAAATCTTGTGCCATTAGCAAGAATCTGTGTGCTTTCTGTCCACCAGAGGGCACTTCACTTGGTTTCAAATGTGCCATTGGCACCTTTACAATTGACAACTGTGCCAGGAATAACACAGCCGTCCAAGTTGGTCTCCCCAGGCAATCAGTGTACAGTGTGAAAATGCACAATGTGTCAATCATTTGTTGAAGGGGACTTGAAGCATCTTCCCACAATTTCTTCTATTTTGGTTATGTTTTCCCAGCAGCCAAACTGCAAACAGAATCATTCCCTCCAACAAACATAAAGTCCTAAGAACAGGAAGGCATAAGACCCATTGAGTTCAATGGAGTTTACTCACATATAAGTGCACAAAAGATTGCAGTCTTAGTCAATCCATAAATCATTCCATTAAAAATCTAAAGCCATTGATTGGCTGATTCTGATTTTTAATGGGATGATTTAAGTCCCTGGCTTTTCATAAAGATTTGAACTCTTCATGCCCTGAAACTCAACATAAGTTGAACATTACTTGTAGATTCTGGGAAATGTTAATTAGTGTCATGGTTTTCAAATCCTGATAAGCACACCCTCCCCCCAATTCTTTTGGACTTCATCAGATATTTAGAGAGCAATTTTCTACATCACTGCTGATCAAAGCTTCCATGTTTCAGTGCCAAATTTCTCCTCATGTCCTTGTACTGAAAATATTTGTATTGCCCGAATTCTATTCTGCGGTTTTGAGATGGCTGTGAGAATAGAGGGGCTTGGTTTGTATTTTTAAACTGTGAGAAAAAACTTGGCTGACATAGTAATGAGATGTGCTTCATTGGAAGGTGGAGAGATTACGTTTTCCTCCCCCCTACGCACGGGTCCTGTAGCTTCCCAAGTGCCATCTTTTGCACTACGGTTAAATGCACAGAAGTTCTCTCCACCTCTGCATCTGGCCACTTTCCTGTAGGGATAAGCAACCCATGGCCCTCCAGATGTTGCTGGGCTCCAATTTCCATCAACAGCCCTTTCCCCAGTGTAGGCAATAACCAAGGATGATAGAAGCTGTTGTACATCATCTGGAAAGCCACAGGTTCCCCACTCTTGCTTTAATGGGGAGAACCCAAATTTTCCAGTTTTAATCATGGAAAACATGCTGTGTACTGTGACTTCCATAGCTGCTACATCTATCTATCTATCTATCTATCTATCTATCTATCTATCTATCTATCAGCTATCTATCAGCTATCTATCTTGTTAGGATATTTCCGTTCCACCTTAAAAGGGAGCAGGCTTTGTGAGTCACAGAGTCTGCCTATTTCCTGTTCACAGGATGTTTCTGTTGTGTCTTTGCTTTCGTTCTCTGTCTGTCTCAGAGACACTGAAGCTGGCAGTCATGTTTTCTTTGTTCTGATCAACGCTGAATAAACTTGTAAATAATGCTCTCCTGAGTGCATCTTTCGCTGTGCATTATCTGCTGATAGAGCATGCATCAGCTCTGGAATGTGGCAAGCTATTTCTGGAGCTCATGTCGCTAATTGCTGATACTGCGTGTCTACGGGAGATCGATGGATGTCCGGAGGCGGCTTGGGGGCCATGATGGACTTTGTCTCCCTGGCAATATCCCAACATATCTATCATCTATCAAGCCAGCATGGTGTAGTGGTTAAGAGCGGTGGACTCATAATCTGGTGAACCGGGTTCGCATCCCCACTCCTCGACATGCCCACTCCTCGACCTTGGGCTAGTCACACTTCCTTGAAGTCTCTCAGCCTCACTCACCTCACAGTGTTTGTTGTGGGGGAGGAAGGGAAAGGAAAATGTTAGCCGCTTTGAGACTCCTTCGGGTAGTGATAAAGCGGGATATCAAATCCAAACTCTTCTCTCTCTCTCTCTCTCTCCATCCCTCCCTCCATCTCTATCATCTCTGTTTCTATCTCCATCTATCCATCCATCCATCCATCCATCCACACACACACCGTTTTGACAGGGAATTTGCCATGTGTATGACACGTTTGTTTGCAGGTGTGTTAAATCCATACCTGTTCCAATGCTCCTGCAAGATGTGCCACCTCTCAACATTTAAGACAATCTGATCCTGCACATTTCTTTAGAAATGTGATTGGCTGGGCTCTCATTCCTAACCCAGGACCCATCTCTAGACTCTGTTCCATGTGTTATCATTTTTTTAAGTTTCATTTGTTGCGGGGACCCTGCACACCAGCTAACAGTTTCTAACTTGCTGCTGGCCACCTTGAGGTTTTTTGCTTAAAGAAAGGTGGGATGAAAATGTTACCTTAAAAAAATACTGCAAGTGTCCCAGGAAGCGAAGTTAAAGAGAAGGCAGGAAATATGGGGGCCAAGAGAACCTTTTCTCTGTTATTCTTTAGTGATGTATGGGGATATATGTAACAGATAAAGGCAGCGAAACTTCCAGGCTCTTAGTATTGGAAGGGAAGGCAGTGCTCTCTCCACACACAGAAGGACAGTTTCAGTTTCTCATTTTTCCAATCATAAATTATCCATATTTTTGCATTCCTTTGTGATTTTTTCCCTTAAGAATCCTTCACCTGCATTTCTCCTAATATGAATGTTTGCATGTGATATTCCCTAATGTAATCTGTTTTTTGTGCAATTTTCCCTAATAAAACACATTTTTGTATGTTATATTCACTAATCTGTGCATCTGTGCATTTCTGTGCACACTTTACCCTAGTATATGCAGTTTTGTGCACATTGCTTGGCTGGAGAACTGCATTGCAAAATTCACAGAATGCGAATTTTGAAAGATGGCAGTGTTTTCGTTTCTGTATTGTTCCATAAAGTGTGAATTATGTAAGCCCTGGACTGAATCAAACCCTATTTCCACAGAACACTGACATTCTTTGAAAAATGACAAAGCCCCTTGTACGGTGGGTGGAAATGCAGCTGTTTGCTTTTCCAGAAGAGGACGCAAATTCACAAGAAGACTTAGCCCAATCCAAGTCTTACTCTCCCATTTTCCCAATGTACAGGGATGGGACCAGAGCATCCACAGCCTCCATGTCACATGTGTCAATTAGCCCCGCCCCCTGGGAACTACATGTAGCTATGCACACCAAGGCTCCATCCTTACAGATGTTTGTGCTGTAAGTGTGGACACCAGGGAGCTGGGACTAGTTTGCACCTGTGACATCAGAGGTGTGGCTGCTCAAAGCATTCAGAGCAAAATTTCTTGTGTTTATAGAAATGGCCAGTGCAGGCTACAGAAAGAAATACACATGCATTGAGAGTAGAGGGTTGCATTTTATATGTCAGAGGGCAAGAGAAGGCTTCAAACAGTTCCATAACCATCTCCTCTCACCATCAGTCTTTCAGCTTGTTGGATAGGTCACCCTCTATTTTTTTAAAAAAACGATTTATTGCATTCTGATCCATATCCATGCGAGTTGTTTCAGCAGCAAATGTTCTTAAAGCCTGTTGCACCAGGATTGCTGAAGATTCCACACAGAAATTTGGCTCGGTCTTTGGGGCCTGCTGCTCTTCTATCAACCTGGAAAGGTTGGTGATCATTTTCTGTGGAATTTCATCTAACCCAAATGAGCTGTAATGATGGGCTGAGTTTCAGAGTGTCCTTCTAACTACCTTCATTGATCTTAAAAGGGCTTTCCATTCTCCTTGAACATCCATCTCAATAGTATTCACATTTGACCATCAACTTCTTTTGAAAGTTTGCAGAAATATGCCTTCTGCTGAATCAGACCATTGGCCTCTCTAGCTCAGTAGAGTCTACACTGACTGGCAGCAGCACTCTAGGATTTTAGACCCTCGGCTTTACCCAGAGATGCTGGAGACTGAAAATGGGATCTTCAGCATTCACAGCAAATGCTCTACCACCAAGCTAAGGCCCTACATGGACCTCTCTGGTTCTCTTACCCTTTCTGGAGATGGGCTGGGTGTCTTTGTACTAGGCAGATAGACAGACAGGGACCTGGCCTTCTTCCATATGCTTGGTTGTGTTTGGCACAAATGAGCAAAATGTGGGCAGTAGAAAACTGGAAAGATTATCCTGCTGGACTGTGCACTGACCTGGTAAGGCCTGACTATCCTACCCCTACTTGACTCCATCCCCTGCCTTGCTGAGTTCAAATCTGCTTTGGGACAAGTATGAGCAATGAAAGGATAGAAAGCCGATTTTCACATTGCCTGGAAGGACATGGCCTCATTCCCACCTTCACTCCAAACAAGAAGAGCCAAGGGAGACACTTCTTCAGGTAGTCAAGGAATAGCCTCAGGGATTAGGTAAAGGTAAAGGGACCCCTGACCATTAGGTCCAGTCGCGACTGACTCTGGGGTTGCACGCTCATCTCGCTTTATTGGCCGAGGGAGCTGGCGTACAACTTCCGGGTCATGTGGCCAGCATGGTGAACCAGAGCAGCGCACGGAAACGCTGTTTACCTTCCCGCCAGAGCGGTACCTATTTATCTACTTGCACTTTGACGTACTTTCGAACTGCTAGGTTGCCAGGAGCAGGGACCGAGCAACAGGTGCTCACCCCATCATGGGGATTCGAATTCCTCCACCAAAAAAAGATGGTAGCCAAAGTGAATTACGCAGATATTTTCCAAATAATTTCACTTTCATCAAAGAAATCACAAGAGAAAAATCTGTGCAGACTTTTGGGGTCCTTGATGCATGCCTGAGCATAGATTTTTGAACTGCGATAAAAAATTGTTTATACCAGGATTGTTTCAATTTCAGCAGTCCATTTCTCTCTCTCAACCCCATGCCATTTTTGTGTACTCAGCACAGCTGATGATCCATGTACAAAAACATACAGCTCTTTGCAGATTGTATTCTCAGTATCTACCGAAGAAAGAAATCTACCAAGAAAGAAAGCACCGGTCATAATTCTTTCCTAGTCAAGGTCTCTGGACTTCGTTCAACAAAGCCCATTTTGGGGCTTTTGGATAGCTTCTCAAAAACAATCTCAAATGCCGTGGGACTTTAAGAATCAAGTAGAGAAACCAACGAGATGTTCCGTATGGAGAGCAGGTCAAAATTATTACAAGCATTATTTGCTAAGAATTATTTGGCTCAGCTCTTATCAGCCACCACGGTGATTTTACTGATAAGAAAAACAGGGCAGGTTGTGGGTGGGAGATGGATCTAAGGAAACTGATGTTTGCTATGCAAACACAGCTCTCAAGTGCTACTCTCAAACCTCACTGAACAAGCCACGGTGAGCCACCATCGAGTATCCTGTTGCAGGCAAGTAACAAACAACTCTTTTGCAGATTACTTTGCTATCCGAGACCCGACCTCTCCAACCCGTTTGAGCTTCGGCGGATTTCTTTCAGTCAGTTCTGCAAACCAGCTGGCAAAGGGTTAGTATGATTTTCTTGTACTCCTTTCGGAAATTGTGATTCAGGGCTCCATAAATCACGGCGTTTAAGCAGCTGTTAAAATATGCCATGAAGTAGCTGCCCGTGAAGAGCCATTTAGGGATGGAAGGCTCCAGCGCTGGCTTCAGAGCCACGACAAAACCAATAAAGTTCAGTGGCGCCCAACAGATGGCGAAAAGCACAAAGACCATAAACATGGTGAGGAAGTTCCGGAAGTCGTGTGGCTTCATTTTGGGCCGGACGTCGGGCTTGACTCGCCGCCGCACCTGGAGCACCAAGGCCCAGATCCTCAGGTAGCAGAAGCTGACGATGGCGATGGGCAAGAAGAAATGGACCACCACCACCGCAATGGTGTAAAGGGAGCTGACGGACTGGGCAAAAGTGCAAGAGTACACCCGCGGGTCGTACCTGAGGGAGCCCACAAAGAGGTTTGGCATGATGGCCAGCAAGGTGAGGGCCCAAACAACCCCCACATAGCCCAGTGTGTTTCCGAGGGAGAAGACCTTGTCGTACTTCAGGCTGTGGCAAATGTAGCAGTAGCGGTTCAGGGCGATGCCGGTGATGTTGAAGATGGAGCCAATGACGCTCATCCCCATCAGGAACCCGCTGACCTGGCAGTGTAGGTAGCCCATGACCCACTCGTCGTGGAAAATGGCGATCAGGGCCAGCGGGTAGGGGTACAGAGCCACCAGCAAGTCTGCAAAAGCCAGGCTGACCACAAAGGCATTCCCTAGAATTCAAAAGTTGAACAGTTTAAGGCACTTGAAAAGTAACCATTGTTAATAAACAATTAGCAATGTTCTTTTTTAAATAAAAACTACCGGTGCCTGCATACTTGTACCCTTAAGCTTCTTGTCTATATTTGAAATGCAGTCGTTTGGAAACCAAAGCACGGCTTCTGATTGGCTGCAGTCAATCGGAAGCCGTGTTGGACATTCGGCTTCCGAAAGAACGTTCGAAAACCGGAACACTCACTTCCGGGTTTCGATAGTTCAGGAGCCGATTGGTTCAGGAGCCAAGGTGTTTGAGATCCAAGGCACGACAGTAGTTTGAGTTTTCATTCCACTGCAGAAAAAGGGACTAAATTTCATGATAGCAGGAGTCATGCAGGAACAGAGAGCTGGCTCCTAGGATTGTAGAGTTGGAAGGGACCACGAAGATCATCTAGTCCAAGCTGTTGCGATGCAGGAATCTTTTGCCCAATGTTAGGCTTGAACCCATAGCCCTGGAATTGAGTCTCATGCTCTACAGACTCTCAGAGGGCCCACCCACTCAATAAAAAATGGCCTGCTTTCACCTGTGTCCTTGTCACTCAGCACAAAAACAAGAGGAAGGCATTTGTGCACTTGAAGTTCTGAAATTTTATTTATAATAATAATAATTTTTAATTTATATCCCACCCATCTGGCTGGGTTCCCCCAGCCACTCTGGGCGGCTCCCAACAGAATATTAAAAACACAATAAAACATCAAACATTAAAAACTTCCCTAAACAGGTTTTCTTGTTTTGTTTTAATTACAGGTTAAATGAAATAGCTCTTAATCAAAATGTTTTAGACGATGTATACTTGGGTTTCTGCCATTTCACAACTTACTTTGAATACTGAGATCATAGGCCTCTGGTATAAGCAGAAAGTGAAACAGAAGTGTGGTCACCCATGCTAATTATTGTGAGCGCCTGGTTCTGTTTCACTATTGTTTATGGCTCGAAAGCCCCTGCTGTTTAATTGACCCAAGGACAGAGAAGGTGCAGTGGCGTAGCGTGGGGGGTGCAGGGGGGGCCGGCCGCACCGGGCGCAACATCTGGGGGGGCGCGCTCGCACTCGCAGCTCTCTGCCCCTACTAAAATCCACGGGTTAGGGGGTGCAAATTACTTGCCTTGCCCCGGGTGCTGACAACCCACGCTACGCCACTGAGAAGGTGTATTTATTATTCCAGATATGGATCTCAGCAGTAACCCCAGAGCTTATAATTCTGTGTTTTTCCCACCATCCCTTGTCTACAAAGCATTTATAAGAAGTGTGTCATTATTTTTGCTACTTTATATTAGAAACACTGCAAGCACGCAAGCTGTTTGCAGTGTCTACAGATGGACAAAACCAGCAAGAGAGCCCTACATGTTTATCCCCAAACAGAAGTGCAGCTGCTGTTTGCTGAAGCTGCTCACAGCAAAATTTCAATAGACTGAAAGGCTGTTTGTTCCAGACACCCTGGGTCAGGCACAAGCAAAACTAAGCAGAGAATGCAAGTGGACACGGCAGAGCCAGCCATATCCTCAGGCTCAAAAGCTTCAGCTGTGTTTTCTACTTGAAGATAACATGCAATGAATTCAAACTACTTGTGCAGAAGTGTGCTTGAGATATTATTCCTCAACGGGGTTTTCGTGTAAGCACAAAAAGGACAGCCATTCCGAGCCAGGTGGTGAGACCAGCGGCCGTTCCATTTTATCTAGTTCAGCCTTCTCCAAACTGATGACCTCTAGATGTTTTGGATTTGCAACAGCCCCATTCAGAATAGTCAGTGATCAGGAATGATGGGAGTTGTAGTCCACAGCATCTAAGGAGGGGGGAGGGACACCAGGCTGGTCTGTTATCTTGCATGAACAGGGATTAGTGATGCTTATATATCAGACAACAGCTACATAGGTGAAGCTGCCCAGAAATTATCAAGTAACCTATGGCTTATAGCCAGAGGCGGAGCAAGGTGCGTGTGGTCCACCCCAGGTGTCATCTCTGAGAGGGGTGACATCGCCGCAGGCGGCACCCTCCCAGGACGCTCCCCGCTGCCGCCGCTAGCTTCGCCTCTGCCTGTCCCTATGAGCACCGCGCGGCGGGCTCTGTCCCTAGCCCCTATGGGTGCCGTGCTGTGCGACACAAACCGCCCCAGGTGCCTGAGAGGCTTCCTCTCCCACTGCTCGTAGCTTATCTCCTTAAATTCCTTCAGTGCTTGCTTCATGCACCACTGAGTCCACCATGCCCCACAACCACAAATTCAGTATTATGGGAATTCTGTCAACCTCCCTTCCCACTGAGGTCAAACAGGACACCTTCTTGTTGAACTTCCAGCACCTTCTAAGGTCTTCTAAAAATTCCAGCAGACATGTTAATTGAAGTCTGGTTTTATAGTTTTAATCTTTTCTGTATTGTATCCCTTGTATGCTGCTTAGAGATGCGTGCAGTAAAGCGGTATATACATTATTGAATAAAATTAAATTATGCAAAGCTGTACTAAAACACCCTGCACTTTCCCCAACTTCACTGATTCTCTGTGTTTTGGAGATAACTTTGAAGGCAACTTCAGATAATTTTGAATGAGGGACAGGGAAGCCTATGGCCAGACACTGTGGGATACCCCCAGCCAGGATCAGAGCTGTCTTTCCCATAGGGCTTAGTGGTGCATTGTGCCAGGGCGCCGGCCTCTCAGGGGTGCCCCAGCAAGTGGGGGAACTGCACGGCTTTGCCGGTGGCCTCCTCTTTCCCTGAACGCCCACCAGCTGCGCCCCGTCAACCATATGGCTGGCAGGTGCGCAGCTTCCCTCCCAAGCCTCTGCAGGGATCGCTCTCCCACATAGGCATGGGGGAGAGTTGCGCACCCCCCATGGCTGGCAGTGCGCAGCTCCCCCCACTATCCGTGGTAATTTGGGGGCGCTGAGTGGATATTTGCACCCCGGCACCGCATCTGCTAAAAATGGCCCTGTCCAGGATGGCCAACTGGAGAGCCACAGGGTCCCAACCCCTGATTTACAAGATGTGTTTTCTAGAAAGCAGGATATCTTTCAGAAAATGAGGTGTCCTCAAAAGCGTCTCAGATCATAAGAATGCCACCTTTCTGGATCAGCCCAAAGTCTGATGGTTTAAAACGGTATGAGGGTGTTAAAAATATCTTTCCAAAGCAAATCTCTCTAGTCTTCAAAAGAGAGAATTGCTATTTAGAATTGTGGTATTTAATAACCAGGGCACTTTCAAACCATCTAGCTATTTTTGGGTGAGATTCAATCATGCATCAGCTAATTCATGCTGCACAATTAAAGCTGATTTTATGCTCCTGCATTGTGGACACACTCTCCTAAAAGATTGGATTGGGACTGTGTGTGTTTTGCAATAAGGAAAGTTGCAGGGGAAATGTGCTGGAAAGTGTGGCTAACACACTTGTTTGGATGCATGGGCGTAGCCAGGATTTTTGTTAGGGGGGAGGCAGCCAAAGTTGTTCAGCTTTTTTTAGGAGATGCCCCCCCCCCAAGTTGTTGAGTTTTTTTGGGGAAATATACCCACCCCAAAGAGGACATTAATGAAGCAGGCTTCTCCAGGGGTGGGACAGGCACAACCTCAGTTAATTGAGTTCTTTCATTGCTTTTCAATAATTTTTGTGGATCTAGGGTTACACCCATGTCATCTAATGTCCCTGCAAACAGTGCTCAATACATATGCCACCTGCACCCTAGAAAGGGAGTTTGTTCAGGAAGCAGGTGCCCTTGAATGAACCCAAGGTGGCATCCTGCACTTCTTCTGATCAAGGATGGTCCTGCTCAGACAGCAAATATCTGCATGCCTAAATAAAATAAACAAATGTCAGCACTGGGCTTCTTCTGCATTTCATCATAAATTGTGGGGGAGAAATGCCTCTCCAGAATCTAATTTGGTGCTACAAGAAAATTTATCTAGGAGATCCTGCTGGGCAGACACAGCATGATATTCTGCTTCTGCTGGAGTGAAGACTCTCAGCAGTTCCTCAGACAGGCGGTGGAGAACGGGAACTTGGAACAACGAGGGCAGATTCTTCTGCATCCTGCTACCTTTACAGGCAGGTTAAAGAATGCGCAGGCAACCCCATCCCAGGCAAACCCCGGTCAGTTATGGTAGCATCTGAGGCTGAACGAGAGCGGTGCGGGATGCTGTCTCTGGGGACAGGTGTCCTTTGGCCAGCAATGCCATTACCTGCTTTCCTCAGCTTCTTGTTCTTGTACACGGACAGGATCACCAGCAGGTTGCCCAGAATGTCCACGGCGATGGTGACAATGAGGACGACAGCGAGGAGGGCCGCCACCCAAACGGGATAGGGACCCGCCTCTTCCCTTTCCAGCCGGGCGGACTGATTCTTCTGCGGCAGCCACCCTTCCTCTTCCATACTCGCTTATCGGGGGTTGAGGTGGGGGGCGCCCACCACCTCCGATTTCCGGGCGGGGGGAGGTGATCGTGCAGGGCAATCGAGGGCGACCCCCAGCTTGAGAGGAGGAAGCTCATCGCACGGGGATCGAGGGCAACGTTTCCCAGGCTCCTGCCAAAGCCGGGCGCGAAGGCAGCGCCCAGCAACGCTGCATGGCCCTTTTGGAAACCGGCGCAGCAAACGCTACGGCCGGAGGAGAGCGTTGCGCGCCGCCTTGCAGAAGTTTTGCAGAGAAGTTGCTCGCGGCGGGGAGAGGCGCATGGCCTGGACTCCTCCTCCTTCTCGCCTCGTGGTAAATCCTGGTGACTCTCAGGCAGCCGAGTGGCTTCTTTGGAAAGACTCTTACTGGCCGATCCACAACTCCGGGGTTTGGCAAAAACTCAAGGCAAGGGCGGAGGACTCGGGGAAATCTTCCCGGCTGATTTCGTCTGAGCGCTCCGTTCCACCGGATCCCGTCTCGCCTTTTCTTATGAGCCGCGGACGGATCGCCCAGAAGCTGCTGCGCCCAACGAGATCTCCCGGCTCCTTAGAGTCCTGCAAGCGAGGCTGAGCAGCGGGGAGAGCAGCTGAGAGTGACCGCGGGACACTTGGAGAGGAGGAGGAGTGTGGGCTCGTCGAGGGAGCCTCGCCACGCCGCAACTGCTATGCCCCACTTCCAGTTCAGTTCAGGGCGCGCTCACGCACGGGAAGGACCGACCATCTGCCCTGCCCCTGCCTGATGCAGAAGGTGTGGGGTTCAATCCCCAGCGTGCCCAAGTAGGGCCGGGACTATCCACAGAGAGGCGTTGAGCCGCCTCTCGGCGCAGACAAACATTCAGCTGCATGGGACGGATGCTTTGACTGCAGAAGGCAGCTTCCGAGGATCCCGCGGCTGTGTTTCTCCCCCGAAGCTGCTCTTTTCATGCACGCGCCTTGCCACCGCCGACCAACTCGCCTCGTATGGATCTGCCCCCATTCATACCCGCGACCCGCCCCTCTCCCTTTCTTGCGCGCTGCCGGCCGCACTGGCAGGCTGGAGGGGACGCGCGCTGGAGGGGCAAAGTTCTCTGGTGATGCGGGAAAGGCGTCGGCGAGGCGAAGTTGCCAACTCTTTGCCCTCTTACTTTGAGAACCACCCCATCAATTCTTTCTCTCTCCTGCCTCCAGAACAGCCCCGAGTCTGGCCCGAGGGGGCTACGATTCGGGGGTCTCTTTCCTACCCCCCTCTCGGCTCTGGACGCGTCGGAGGCAATGATGGACTGCAGCCCGATTCCTGCGGTTATATAGTCGCTGTCCCTGCACTTGTTGCTGCCTGCGGACGCTAGTTCGGGCTATTAACTCCTTCCAGCCCGCGAGGCAGAGAATGTCTGGCTGGGGCTCCTCAAAGCAAGCCCATGTATTCCTATTGCTTTTGGTTGTTCGAAGGCTGCTCGATGATTACGTCTGCACACATCCTCAATTTAGTGGGATATTTTCTTTGCAAAGAATTACCACCTTTTCCTTCCTATTTACGAATTCCGTCAAAAACATTTGAATGCCAGTGGGAGGATGTCATGAAGCCCACAAGTCTTTTCTTTGAATGGATAATCTATTGCTTTCCGCTTCTAATTTCTGAACCTCTTTGAAGCGCCTATGAAAAAGTGGAATAAAAATGTTTGAAAACAAATAAAACTTGCCCCCCCTTGAGATCATCATCAGAAGCTCTCCTAGGTTTCCCAACATTTTGCAGATGATGCCTCCTAATTGGCACCAGGAAGAGGGTCTTCAGTGGCTTCTCCCAGCTCTGGAACTCCCCCATTCTGTTGTCGTAACCTAAGTTAGTTAAGGAAAGGAGATGCTATCCCATCAAAATTAGACTGGAAGAACAAAATGCAAGAATATGTAGAACTAGCTAGATTATCAGCAAAATTCCAAGATGTCACTGACCAAAAATTTGATAGAGAATGGGACATATACAGAGTCTGTCTGAGGGAACATTGTAAAAATGTAAATCCGTTGGCAGGCCTGGATTGACTTTCTGCATGAATTAAGAGTACCTTACAAGATTAATGTAACCGAAACAACATAGAAGAGGTAAAGCTTAGTGTGTAGTTAAAGAAAGTAACTTGGGAATCACAATGGGATGACTAGAAGTCATGATCACAAAATGTCACATACAGTAAGTATTAAGTTTGGAATGAATATTTTATTTCTCTTCCCCCCCCCCATTGATTGCTTTGTGTCATGTTGTTTTTAAAACCAATAAAGCATAATAATAATAATAAACTCCCAAGTTAGTTAAAACCTTCCCTTTTAGGATTTTTTTTGGGGTCACAAAATGGTTGCTCCCTTTTTAAAGTGGTTTGATTTCCAACATTAATGGTTGTCACATTTCTCTCTGCCCTTTTAGTGTTTCCCGGCTATTTTGTTGCATTTATTGCTGCAGTCAAATTGTTTTAGATGTTGCTAAGTGGGCAATCCTAAACACCAGATCTGGAGCTAGTGTATTTGATCCCCACCCACCACCCACCCCATTGAAGAGGCCGTAATAAAATAAAAATACTAGGAGAATGCTACTACTAATACATTTTCTCACCTCTTGCCTTGGTTAACACAAACCAGTTTACACCCATAGTCCACCCACCGTCCCACTCCGATTAGGGCTGCTAATCCATGCTGTTTGTCACCATGGGCTTCTTGAGGCAATGAATGTTTAAAATGAACAAGCTGGGGCTGTAATCTTAGACCTGCTTATTTACTCAGCAGGACTGATCTCTGAGTAGGCACTGGAGTCTGTAAGTATGGGTATTCACTGAAGTGGGTTGTGAAGTAGCAGCAGCCATTTGCAGCAAAGGATTATGAGAAAGGCACATGGACACTAGGCTTCTTTTTCTCTATGGTGAAGCTGGTTGGATTGCAGTTTAAGGGGACAGCTCAGTTGGTAGAAAGGGACGTGGGTGGCGCTGTGGGTTAAACTACAGAGCCTAGGACTTGCCGATCAGAAGGTCGGTGGTTCGAATCCCTGCAACGGGGTGAACTCCCGTTGCTCAGTCCCTGCTCCTGCCAACCTAGCAGTTCGAAAGCACGTCAAAGTGCAAGTAGATAAATAGGTACCACTCCGGCGGGAAGGTAAATGGCATTTCCATGCGCTGCTCTGGTTCGCCAGAAGTGGCTTAGTCATGCTGGCCACATGACCCGGAAGCTGTATGCCAGCTCCCTCGGCCAATAAAGCGAGATGAGCGCCGCAACCCCAGAGTTGGCCACGACTGGACCTAATGGTCAGGGTTCCCTTTACCTTTACCTTACAGTTGGTAGATCATGAGGCTTTTAGTCTCAGAGTTTGTGGGTTCAAGCCCCATGTTGGGCAAAATATCCCTGCATTGAAGGGGGGTTGGACTAGATGACCCTCGTGGTCCCTCCCAACTTTACAACACTATGATTCCCTAATTTTAGGGAGCAGGGATTTGCTCAGTAGCCATGGACAGGAATCCAAGACCGAAGGAGACTTCTGTAGAAAGGCAACTGGGAGGAAGACAGTTTGGTTTGACCTCGTTTCCACAAGTTCGCCACCTGGGTCCTGCATTTATAATCTTGGAACGCCTGCAGAGGCTTCTAGTTAGGAGCAGATAAAAGGCACTCGTCTCTCACAAAGCAACCCAGTTTCTTACATTCAAAGCAGTAGGTCGGAGAAAGTGGCTGGGGAGGGAGGGAGAGAGAAGCTGTTCTAAAATAGCAATTTATTTTCCCCGTCTGTGTCCGCCAAAAGGCTGGGGAGAAATAACAAACCACTGGCTGCTCTTTTTAAGGCAGGCTTCTCTACTGAACTCGAAGGCTCTCAGAAAAGACATTTGCAGCGCACCAGGGTGTGAGGAAAGTGGGCAATGAGGTGCTACTTCCATCAATGCCATTTTCTTAGACAAAGCCATTCCCTTCTTAAAATGTCCCTTTTCACTTGCAGCTGCACATTTCACAGTGTGTCTGACTCACTCAAGTGTTGGCAACTGGTTCAATGTCACTTCTAACCCTTCTTTCTTCCCTTGGTTAACTTGAGGAATTTAGGGATGGGGGGGGGCAAAGAGAAACCTTGCAGAGATTACAAAGCAGAAGCTAACACAATCTGATTATTGGTTTATAACTCTTGTCCCAGAGAGCCTCACAATTTTGGGAACAATTCTGGAAACATAAGAAATTTATTTTTGTTTCCGTGAACTTTTCCATCTGGATGAAAAGGTCTCTGCTTCAGGTTTTAAAACAATACAAAGTAAAAGATACAAAATCCATAATCATTGGGTTCTTCTGCTGTTTTTTAGCTGTTTTGTGGTATGTTTGTAAATTGCTTTGGGACACATGTAAAAGCAATTTATAAATATTTACCACTTTTTAAATTTTTGCTCAGAATTCTCATAGGGAAACACCAACAAAAGCCACTTCCCACATGCTCTCCCTTTTCTCTAATGGCAGCAACTTTAATGCCTTGAAAGAACACAATTGCCACATTACCTGGCGATTTCTTTTTCTGGCATCAGGCAACAACAACCCCAGTTGGACCAGTTTTTCCACACATAAGCTCATAGGAGGAGGAAAGTTCCTCACTTCACTGTGACTGTCTTCTGATACAAAAGAATGAATAATAAATAATCACCGCAACAGATAGTTTGTAGGGATGCCATAAGAACAACAACTACCGGTGTTCTACACGCTACATTGCAATTACTTGGTTTTTCTTAGAATCATAGAGTCATAGAGTTGGAAGAGACCACAAGGGCCATCGAGTCCAACCCCCTGCCAAGCAGGAAACACCATCAGAGCACTCCTGACATATGGTTTTCAAGCCTCTGCTTAAAGACCTCCAAAGAAGGAGACTCCACCACACTCCTTGGCAGCAAATTCCACTGTCGAACAGCTCTTACTGTCAGGAAGTTCTTCCTAATGTTTAGGTGGAATCTTCTTTCTTGTAGTTTGGATCCATTGCTCCGTGTCCGCTTCTCTGGAGCAGCAGAAAACAACCTTTCTCCCTCCTCTATGTGACATCCTTTTATATATTTGAACATGGCTATCATATCACCCCTTAACCTCCTCTTCTCCAGGCTAAACATGCCCAGCTCCCTTAGCCGTTCCTCATAAGGCATCGTTTCCAGGCCTTTGACCATTTTGGTTGCCCTCCTCTGGACACGTTCCAGTTTGTCAGTGTCCTTCTTGAACTGTGGTGCCCAGAACTGGACACAGTACTCCAGGTGAGGTCTGACCAGAGCAGAATACAGTGGCACTATTACTTCCCTTGATCTAGATGCTATACTCCTATTGATGCAGCCCAGAATTGCATTGGCTTTTTTAGCTGCCGCGTCACACTGTTGGCTCATGTCAAGTTTGTGGTCAACCAAGACTCCTAGATCCTTTTCACATGTACTGCTCTCAAGCAAGGTGTCACCTGAGTTTTTCTTCATGAAAAACTCGTTGTGGTTAAGACTTTGTAGTCAGCAAGCTTGCATAGAGGTTATTTCCATGTTGGGAAAAATATAAATAATGCCTGATAAGAGATGCTGACTTCCATCTTCTTAAGACAAGAGAAGGTGGGAGAGTTTTTCCTATAGTGATTGCTTACTGATAGAGAAACTTTTGCCACTGCATTGTATCAATCATCAGGTGCCTTTTCAAGCTTTCAAATATCATAATAGAATAATTGGACAATGATGCATGTGCATAAGCAGTTTCAATGCATTTAACCAATGTGGAGGTACAGCTACATCTCAATGTACATCTGAGCCCTATTGAACTGGATGGATGCATTAATTACTTAATTAATTAATTGTTGTGAACGGGGATGTGCAGTGAGATTTAGGGGCCATTAGTTGTTATGTCTGACAAACGGCCTGAAATTTGGATGTGAGAAATTCCTGGAGGATAAGCCAATCAATGGCTATGAGCCACGACGGCTGTGTTCTATCAGCACTGGTAGAGGCAATATGTCTCTGAATACCATCTGCTGGAGATCACATGTGGGGAGAGTGCTTGTGGGCTTCCCATAGGAATCTAGATGGCTAGTGTGAGAACAGGATGCCGGACTAGATGGGCCTTTGGCCTGACCCAGCAGGGCTCTTATCTTCTTACGATTACAGTGGGGTCAAGGCCAGTGTCTTACTACTGAGCTGTCTCAGTAGAGCTGAATGGTTTGGGTAGAAATTCCATAGCCCTGTCTTTAGTGTGATCTGTGCTGATTGCTTGTTCCTGGACAGTTATCCAGTAACCCAAATTGATCTGCAAATAACGCATTTAAAAAAGTCCACTTTATTGCTTTTGATAAACAAATGTCCATAATAAACTCTCACAGAGAAATATTTCATTTAACTAAAGATGCACAGTGCATTAAAGGTACAGGCCAGCCTTGTATTAAATAATCCACTCCACACCCAATTTGGGCTCTCTTTCCCCATGTTTGTCCATCAGTAGAGTCGCACGCATTCTCACACACATCACCTTGCACAAGTATGTCCATATGTAAATCTATTTATATATATATATAGAGAGAGAGAGAGAGGAAATATACAGTTACATGCCCATGGTTCATAGCATGTACTAAAGCTGATGCAGATGGAGCCAGCATACTCCGTTTACTCATTTCCTAGGGCAGCAACACAGTAACACAGGCTCTCATAAATTATGGGAATTGTAGGAAGATAGATTGATCATCGACCACCACCCTTGACTTCCTTGATCTGGTTAATATGATGCCCTTGTGGAGGATGCCACTTACAGGTTAACAGACAAGGCTTGTGGTACAAATATGGCACATTGCCTTTATGCCCCTTCCTAGTCTGCCATCTGCACTCATTACTTTCACTTGACCTCTAGTGCCAGTGACAATTTGTGGCCTAAGATAAGGAGACGATGCTTTCTGGGCAGCAACTCTTTCTCCTATAAAAATATAACTGTTCTCTTTCTTTCTTTTTCTTCCCCAGGCCCTTTTCTTTCGCAGGGCTCGAGGGTGACAGGCCAATGAATGAATGGATGTGACAGTAGAGTCCCCCTCTCTATGAAAGGAGCAAGGGGACATAGAACTGCAGGGCAGCCCATTCTCACCCGCCTAATGTAAACCTTTGATGCCAGATCCAAAGGCAGCACTAAGAGATTTCTCACCGCCACTCCAATGTTTCCCTTATATTTTACAATAAGCAATCACTTCAGCCCTAATTACTGCTGCTTTGGCGACTGACAACCACAAGTGCCCATTGTTCTTTGGGCATAGAATGCATTGTTCTATGCATTCTAACGTGTTCTGTGTAGAACGTGTCCATGCAAGGGGTTGGAAGATGGCGTTGAAGTTCTCTGTCCACTTCTGAAGAACTCCCTATTGCTCAGAAGATGCCAGTGTTCTCTTTGGCTCTTGAGATACAATCCAGCTCAAAAAACAAACAAGCTCTATTTGAAATCCAGTCCAAAGCAGAAGTGGTTGTTGACCAGGGCTGTGGCACCAATACTAATATTCAGTGTAATTATGTGCATGGATGAGGCTGCTTAGAATACCACAGGAAGTCACATGTTCCGGGAAATGGATACTCCAAAGAAAGTTGCCTCTCCTTCATTGTGCAGATGAAATTGGAAGTCCTCCTCGTTTCAAACATGAGTCCCACTAAAACATCACCTCCTCGCAGCTCCCATAGTCACTCTCCACCATGTCAGAGCCCTCGTAACTGGGAGGCGGTACTGGCTGAGTTCTGATAGTGGACGTAGGCCTCACCTCACAGTCTGCGTAGGACGGCTGGGCCACACTGAGTCGCATGCTTACTCTCTTGTACCCACTGTCTGGGTGGTAAGGTGGCCCCTCGCTCTCTACGCGCTGAGAAGGGTAGTAGCTAATGGCAGTATATTCATTCTGGCACTGGGAAGCAGGTAGCTCTCCAGGAACAGGAGGTAAGAAGTCTTCCAGATTCTGGTTGCTGTAGCGGGGTGGTATTGGGGCCCGCTTGTTGCTTTGGTCAAGCGGGAAAGGAAAGCCACCATAAAGGCCTGTTGCCTCAGAGTCTACGGAAGGAGGAGGCGGCCTACGGCATGGAGAAGGTGGAAGAGGGCCTTGAATCACTTCATACTGATGGTACTCTTGGAGATCGGCCGGCTGGTATCTTGGAGGCCAGTAGGTTGTTTCTCCTGGGTACACTAGAAGAAAATCAGAAGCATGTTAATACCTCCCAAGGAATGTGTAGGCTTTTCTAGCCATCTCTGCACTTTCTGTCTGGAATCAGTTCATCATAAGGAGTTAGAATGAGCTATTTCCAAGGGAACACAATCTTTCACACTTGATCTTAGCCAAAAGGCCCAGAAGCGATTGGGGAACACAATCCTTGAAGGATGAGGAAGAATTTGGATCCTCACACAGTAAACCTCTCCCCTCCTTCTCCTGTTGGTTTATATAGCCATTTGTATGTGTGGCATTGTCAAGGTGCTCAAATTAAATCTTCAAAGCGCTAAATGACTCAGGCTCCAAATATATGAAAGACCATCTCTTTCCCTGCAGGCCCTCTTGGGTGTTAATATTAGCAGTAGGGGTCCTTTTCTTAGTTTGGCCATCCTCAGAGGTTTGTGGGCAACACACTGGGAGAGGGCATTTTCAGACACTAAACTGTGGAATTAGCTCCCAGTTGCATCTGAAGTCTTCACTGTGCAGTTTTTGTCCTATGCACCTCTATACCTTTGACACTTCAGATATATGTTTTTAGACCCACCCCATTCTTTTGATTGTAAGTTGTTTTAACCGATTTGAATATGGCGAATAGTGGGTAAGAAATCTTTAGCAACAGCAGCAGCAGCATTATTCTACTCAGCCCCCTCAAGCATGGATAACCCACATGTTAAACATCTCACTAGACATCAAGGGGATGTAGCCAATGTTAGTTCTAAGAGTAAGGTAAAGGTACCCCTGACTGTTAGGTCCAGTCGCAGACGACTCTGGGGTTGCGCGTTCATTTCACTCTATAGGCCAAGGGTGCTGGCGAGCTTCCGGGTCATGTGGCCAGCATGACTAAGCCGCTTCTGGCGAACTAGAGCAGCACACGGAAACGCCGTTTACCTTCACGCCAGAACGGTACCTATTTATCTACGTGCACTTTGACGTGCTTTCAAACTGCTAGGTTAGCAGGAGCAGGGACCGAGCAACGGGAGCTCACCCTATCGCGGGGATTCGAACCACCGACCTTCTGATCGGCAAGCCCTAGACTCTGTGGTTTAGACCACAGTGCCACCTGTGACCAGCTGAAGAGTAGACCAACTGAAATGAATGATCTTAAATTAGTTATGACCATTAATTTAAATGAGTGTGCTTCGAGGACTTAACGTAGGCTACAACCAAATGCTATTCCTTTGTACCCGTCATGTTGTTATAGCACTGAATACTGAACAATTCAGTAACAGTACAGTGGTGCCCCGCAAGACGAAACACTCGCTAGACAAAAGGGTTTTTCGTTTTTTGAGCTGCTTCGCAAGACGATTTTCCCTATGGGCTTGCTTCGCAAGACGGACACGTCTTGCAAGTTTGTTTCCTTTTTCTTAACACCGTTAATACAGTTGCAACTTGACTTCGAGGAGCAACTCATAGAACGTGGTGTGGTAGCCTTTTTTGAGGTTTTTAAAGACTTTGGTGATTTTTGAAGCTTTTCCAAAACTTTCCCGACACCGTGCTTCGCAAGACGAAAAAAATCACAAGACGACAAAACTCGCGGAACGAATTAATTTCGTCTTGCGAGGCACCACTGTATGCAGTTTGAAGTTTGAGGCACCTCTTGGCAAATATTTTTGCTGTTTGAATCACATTTAGTGGTGGATGGAAGAGTGGTGCAAGCAGGTTATAAAGATGTATTCTAACATCGGACAGTGGGCTCTTGCTAACAATGCCACCCACTCCCCTTGGCTAATTCTTGTAATTTATGTAAGCATCATGTTGGGGCTGGGGCTGATGGGAGTTTGAGTCCAACAACATCTAGCGGGCAATCCATTGGGCTGCCTTGGGATCAGCAAGGCCTCTTGTTATGGGGCCAAACTTACCATAGAGATGCTGTTTCTAGTAGTAGCCCCATGTTGAGTGTATCGGGCAGTTCCATTATTTCACCATGGAAAACAGGTGGGAAGATTTCCCACCTCTTTTTTACCTAGCCTCTAGTGGTCAGAACATTAATTACCTCACACATATTAAAAAATTCTGGGATCAAACATGCAAAATTTCTGTTCTGAACGTGACCATTCTTCATTTCTAAGCCTGTGGTCATCCCATCCTCCCTTATCCAAAATGCAATAGTGGTGGACCATGATATTTTCTCCCATTCTGATTGGTTATCTCATTCACCTTCCCTTTAATATGGCACATCCATCACATTACTTTGTTACTGAAATATGTTGTTACTGGCATTTGAGACTCATAGCTGGCCTGTTTGACTGCTATGTGAGAAGTGAAAGCAAGTCAGTTTGATGGATATGATAGCCTCTGACACTGAAACTTGGCTGAAAAATCATGAAATATTTCCATCATGAACTGCATCAGAGCTCAGCTTGCCCACTACTCTGTCTATGTAATTAACTCCTTCTGCACAGTAATAAACTTGGATATATTATTGCCCCTGAATTAGCAATTCCCTTATTAAACACAGCTGCTTAAATATGATTTCATCTTATTTGCACGCTTGCAGGGGAAGGAACTTCAGGCTGATAAATGCCATAGTATCCCCCCCAACCAAAAAAAAACCTGATTGCCAAGCTGCTCTCTTTTTATAGACAGGCAAGTATAATCATACTTCACAGGCCCAGACAAAAGCACTGCTGCGTTGAAACAGATTGTAGGCAACCCAGTCTAGTTTTTGGTGTGTGAAAATGCCCTTTCTGACAGAACATCAGGATCCATACTTCTCAACAGCAGGGCATACCACTGACAAGGCTGCATGAAGATTCCAGGGATCAAGGGCAAAACCATGGGGCTGGAAGGAGCAAATATTTTGCCTACATTACTTTTGTCTCCTACCTGAGCTAGTGGCTTCTTGTTGTTTTGCTGACTGCACACTCATTCTTTTCAGATAACACAAAAGCACAGATCAGCACCATTTCCCCATCTGATGGTTGTGTGTGGGTGGTGGTGGTGGTAATCTTGCTTTGGTGTGATAGTCATACAAGTGGTCACCAAATCCTTTTACTCATAGGGAAATCTGTGCACTGGTGTGAGAGATAAGGAAAACCTACCAATCAAAGATTATTATATTTTAACCCTCAAGTGTTGCATTGATGGAGGATGTGATGGTAGCCTGGCTAGCTAGCTCACTTCTGTTTCTTTTAAGGGCAATGTTAAGTTCCCGTGCTTGAGGGGTTCAGAGAGGAAAGCTTCTCAAAAATTAAAATCAATTTTTTTTGAAAGACCACAAAATGGCAGGAGAAGCTTCTGACCACTGACGTAATGGGCACAGCCAAAGTTACACGATACTCAGATCAACCCTAGCACAACCAATGATCTATATTGGGGAGGGCAAAGGAGAAAATATGTTCCCCCAGGGACAAAATATTGTGTTTTGAATGGCAAGAAATGGAGATCCCTGTGACAGAATGGCTACTGTGAGGCAAAGACATCTCACACAATAACAACTGTGAGCACTAACTGCTGTGAAGGAACATCATTTGGAAGCACCCCCATGCAGCAAAGGGAAAGGGGAGAGAGAAAGAAGGTCAAACAAACCCATCTTTTCTCCAGCCCAGGTGCTCTTGATGACGGGCTCATTTTCAGGTGAGGGCGTGGCAATTGGGAGATTGGGGGCCACACTGCACACAATGGCGCCCCGCTGTTTCTGAACATGGTTTGTGTTGAAGGTCGCAAACTCCGATGTGACAGCAGGCTTGCCTGGGTCTAGTGCATCGAGATGGTGGTGGTGACCGTCGCTGAGGATGTTTAGTTCAATGGGGGTAAGACCTTGAGTGCCAACCCCGACACTTTTGGATAATTCGCTTTTGGAGAGCAGGTCTGGGTCTTCTTTGGCCACAGGCTTGTGAGCCTTGACTTTGTGGCAGTAGAATTTGCGGATAAGTATAAATGCTGTCACCAGGATGAGGACACCTAACAGCCCAGCAGAAATCACGGCAATTTCTCCAGACCCCAAGATCCAGCTGGATGGACTAATTGTTGGAGTCACAATTTTCTGCGTGCAGAATGCTCCCTGGAAGTCGCCAGTGCAGATGCAGTGAATGGAACCATCGGAATTCACACAGCGCGCAGAGTTCAGACATGGGTTTTCCAGGCATTTCTCCGCAACTTTTTCACATCTGCGGAAGAGATGGTGGAAGGCATCATTAGACAATGTGACATCACACTTATCAGAGACTCTACCTGTGAGATCATCGGGGAGTTACAGTGCCAGAGGAACAAAAAAACTGCATTCCAGTCTAGCTAAAAATGGTTGTGTCCATAGTACCATTGAATAAACAATTAGGTATCTTAACTCATATTGCCTTCAGTGAAAGAATTACAATTAAGTGTAGCTAAATCCAGCCATCGGGATCTAATTCAGAAGAACTGATGCAAAAAAATATGCAATATGCAAAATATAAAAATATGCAATATGCAAAAAAAACCAGCGTTAAAAAAAACAAAGCTATTTTTGTAAAAAACAATGTTCTGTTCACCTTAATTCCTTTTTTATTTTATTTTTTACTGTAAATATTGCTGGTGTGCTAACAAAACCATTTCCATTTTAATACTATAAAAGTTCATAATTGTTCAAAATTTGAAGTCATTTCTTTTCAGTGATAATCATTCTATAGGATGACCACACTTTGAAAACACTTTGGTGTATAATCTGCGTATAACATGGTATCAAAGATAAACATAGAACAAATGTTCATAGAAGGCCAGACAGTCTCATGGTAATGGCATGGGAATGCTGGTGAACAGGATGAGAGGCCATAAGCCTTATGAATGCCAGATTTTTGTTGGCCTATGTCATCCTAACAACAGCTCTAAAAGTATCCTTTTGACAGAGAGGCCCAGGGCCGGTGCCAAACTTCAGGCGGGTCATTGGCACAACCCAGCCAATGTCTTCCCCCCCTCGACCTCCCTGCCTCCAGTCCCCTTTTTGCTGCAGCAGTTTGTCCACCCTTTCCTTCCCCCTGTTCCCCACAGCCCCCTCTCCTACTTTTTTTTTACAACCACTTCTCTGCCCTCTGGGTTCTGAGAAGGAGCCAAAGGCATCCTTCTTCAGACAAAGAGATTTTAGGTAAAGTCACTGAGAAGGCCTCTGGCGCTAATGTGCTTCGCTGTGCTGGAAAGTACTTTTACAACTTTTAAAGCTTAAAAAACCCACTGAGTTTAGAAAAGCCAGAGTAGCGAAAGACAGCAGCGGAAGAGGCATTTTTCTGGCCACCTCACCTACAAGACCTGGCTCTGAGGATACCCTTGGACCTTTCTCAGAGTTCCCAAAAAGCAGGTGGATGGAGGAGGAAGGGGAGCAGCTAGCTGGATGGGAGTCAAGCTTTACTGCCAAGTGAAGTGCCTACACAATGCCATCTGGGCCTGGTGGTGAGTGTTGGTCAGGCTGGTGAGATGCTCTTCCTAGCCCTGAGGCTTTAGCCAGAGCCTGACTTGGGCAATTGTTGGTGCTGTGCCTTGAGCAGAGGCACCAACTTCTCAAGATGATTGAGGGAGCTCGACACGACGTCCTGATGTCACACGTGCGATGTCATGAGGAACCAGGGGGTAGAGTTGAATGCCCTTTGAACATTGAGGAGCCCCAGCTGCTTCAAAAAACCGGGGGGTAGGCAAAAGTGTCTCAGCCCCTAGGATCTGGTGTGTATAGCCTAGGGAGATCCATAATTGGGTTCCCATAACCCCAAACATCCTGCTCCTCACCCAAACAACTGTATCTGCTATGTGTGTAAATAATTTCCCGTTTAATTAATTAATAATAGTGACATTGATGGCAGGTAATAATAATGAAAATACATTACTCATCAGTTATGTAGCCAAAGACCTACAGAATAACCTGATGTGCTTGTACAGCGGCACCATCTAGTGACGATTTGTGCATTTTCCTCACACAGGCAAGATGAGGAGAGTTATTCTCCTTTTTCATGGTTGTCCTCAAACCAAGATTATTATAAATATTAACTGGCCTTTCCCTTTTCTCTAATCATCTGAGTGAATTCAAAGACCCGCCAACAACTTTTTGTTCTGGACCTAACCACGAGATCTCACCTGACTTCATATTTAAGTAAGAGACTGCCACTGGTTGATAGCGAAACTCTACAGGCAGTTATCATTTTGCAGTGTTTTTTAAAAAATGGAATTAGGGCATTCATTCTGAACGAGCATGTGTGAACCCATCTAGCATCTGAAACGTGTAAACTGACTCCTCTGACAGATGTTGCATTTCAGACGTGGCATGAAAACTGTTGGTAGTGCTATGATTCTCTGTTTCTTGTGTCATTCAAGCATGGAGGGGGTAATGCTTAAGGGCCACACCTACCTTTCTCCCCAGTACCACTCTGGGCAATGGCAGGTATAGCCGCCTTTCTCGGAGAGGGCACAAGTCCCCCCATGCAAACAGGGCTTGCCTTCACAAAGGTTATCAGCAACTTCGCAGTGGTCTCCAGAAAACTGGATGGGGCAGATGCAAGAATAACCTAGTGACAGGAGGGGAAAACAATGGAAAAGGTTTGAAAAACAAGTGAAACCAGAATGACATTTTTCATGTGTGGATCAGGGAACCAGCCTGGAGGCAAAGGACAAGAGAGGCCCTCCCACCCAATTCAATATAAAGAATCTGGATGACAGTGGAATCCTACACCCTGCCACCCAGCAATTTGGTGATAGTGTTTCCCAGTGCACCTGAGGGTGGTAGAGTAGTTATGAGGGAGCAGGACAGCTCTGTGGCACGTATTGCTCAGATCTGCAAAAGGGGAGAATGGCCAGGGGCTCAGAAGAAGAAGAAGAGTTTGGATTTGATATCCCGCCTTTCACTCCCCTTCAGGAGTCTCAAAGCGGCTAAGATTCTCCTTTTCCTTCCTCCCCCACAACAAACACTCTGTGAGGTGAGTGGGGCTGAGAGACTTCAAAGAAGTGTGACTGGCCCAAGGTCACCCAGCAGCTGCATGTAGAGGAGCGGAGACGCGAACCTGGTTCCCCAGATTACAAGACTACAGCTCTTAACCACTACACCACACTGGCTCTCCACACTGGCTCAGGAGGAATATTAGGGCTCTTGTCCTCCAATCTACTGCCTGAGGCAATTGCCTCACTTTGTCTTATGGTACGGCCAGCCCTGTGTGGAATGCACCGTTGTTACAGCCATCCATTCCAGGGAAATAACATTTACAATGCACTGAAACAAATGTTGAGTTGCTGGGGAAATCGGAACCATTCACTGCTCAAACTACTACAGTAATTAGCACTGCAGCTGCACTACCTCAACTGCACCGGCGTCATGGGGACCTATTGGACAGCGCATGTGGAATCACGGCCACAAAAGACATTACTCTCCATTGCCATTTGGCTTACTATATTTTGCACCTTCCTGTTTTCTCCCAGCACAGGTGCCCAAGGGAAATGCACTTACAAAATGATCAGACGATGCTCAGATACCAATTCTGGGGCTGCTCTAGCTTATTGTTGGCATTCCAGAACACCCCAACTGTGGCTACTGCATTTATGCAGGCACACACTTCGTATGGGCATCTTCCCACCATCACACGGAGACCGTCATGCATGTCCCCAAGCATGCTGTCACCGCGTGCTGTAGAAGTGCATGTAAATCTGTGAGGACATGAACTTATACGCCCTTGTCTCTCTGAAAATTGTTGTCTGACAAGTGCGCCTGAGCTGCTGATCTGACAAGACAAGAATTGTAAACTTTTTGCTCTGAGCTGAAGGAAAGGAGGACGTGTGCTCTCCGCCTTTTGCTAACTGCTCACCTGTCAGGGCATGCAACTCGACAGCAGGCTTCAGGCAGAAATAACAAAAGGTGCACATGCCTACAGAAGGTGGTTCAAAGTGTTTCTCAGTGCATGTCTCCCATTACCACACACTGCTATCCAAGTCACCTCCAAGCGCCCATCAGTCCCACCACCATCCCAGGATAGGGAAAGAAAAAATCTCTACAAGCCAATGAGCACCTTTGCTGGGCGCCCTCCTTGCTTATCAAATGTGTGGCTTCGTCCCATGAGCATTAGGACGGAATGCTTTCCACTGATGTGGACATCAGTGACAGAGAGTGTAAAAATTATTCTGCTTAAAGCTCATTGCACATCATGCTTGTGCACTAGAGCTGGAGTTTATGATTTGTCTTTTCCCCCCAAGTGAAGCTTATGGGTTACCAAATGGAAATAAAACCAGTCGATCAAGGACTACGTGTATGAATGTAAAGCCCCACTTGGAGCGTACGTTTATATTGCTTTAAAGAGTCATGGCTTTCCCCAAAGAACCCTGGGGAGTATGGTTGATAAGGGTGCTGAGAGTTGTAAAGGGGCCCCTGACCATTAGGTCCAGTCGTGACCGACTCTGGGGTTGTGGCGCTCATCTCGCTTTATTGGTCGAGGGAGCCGGCGTACAGCTTCCGGGTCATGTGGCCAGCATGACTAAGCCGCTTCTGGTGAACCAGAGCAGCACACGGAAACGCCGTTTACCTTCCCGCCAGAGCGGTACCTATTTATCTACTTGCACTTTGACGTGCTTTCAAACTGCTAGGTGAGCAGGAGCAGGGACCGAGCAACGGGAGCTCACCCCATCGCGGGGATTCGAACCGCCGACCTTCTGATTGGTAAGTCCTAAGCTCTGTGGTTTAACCCACAGCGCCACCCAAGTTGTTAGGAGACCCCTATTTTCCCCACAGTTACAATTCCTAGAATTTCCTGGGAAGAGGGGTTGAATGGTAAACTACTCTGAGCTCTGTGAGGGGAATAGTGGTTTCCTAACAACTCTCAGCACCCTTAACAAACCTCAGTTCCCGGTATTCTTTGGTGGAAGCCATGACTGCTTAAAGTGGTATGAGGCTGCTTGAAATGTATAGTACGGATAACTTCTGGGGTCACCATTAAAGCCATTTGCCCAAGGATCAGTGTTCACATGTGGCCACCAGACTAGAGACAGCTGAAGGCCTAAGCGCCCCTGCTCAGTAGGCACCAGAACAACACACATTTTGCTATGTGTGATTTTGCTGGGGGAGAAGGACTGCTTTAATTATGGTGCCAAACCCCTAAAAAGCCCTCATCTTTTCCTCTTCTAATGTGCTATCTTTCCATGTGTAGCCTCCCAATACGCCTCCATTATAACCACCACTGCATTCTAATTGGAAATTATTACTCACCAACTTTGGGCCTGAGTACATGCATGCCTTCATAATGAATATGCCTCTCTTTGGAGTTCCCAACCCAATTATTTAAGCCCCTTTCCCAGTGCCACTCACTTGCCTTCCAAAATACTCACAGGCCAAAACAGGTTCCCCTGCTCCTCCCATCCTGCCAGCCTAAACATTCTTGTTATCCAAATCTTCTTCGCTGGCCACAGGCTAAAACCTTCATCCATTCCACACCCTTCCCCCTTTGCAGCAAATGCTGGCAAAGAGAAAATCCCACACTTTTCACATTCTTGTCCCTTGCACTGTTGATTTAAATGTAAAGGGGAAGAGGCTGATGTGTAGGAATTCAGCAGCTGCCATTTGTCTGGCAGACCTGCAATAAGCTCATTGGGTGACTTGAGGCTAGTCCACCCAACCTCAGCTTAGGGTTGCTATGTGGAGAAAATGCCTTGAGCTCCTTGGGGGATGGGCAGGATACAAATATTGGGTAGGTAGGTAGGAAGGTACAGACAAACCAAGTAAACCTCTACTCCTGTCTGACAGTACAAATGGATCTAAAGACCAGACTCCCAAGTGCTTAAGATATTGAAAGAAGGGACGGGAACAGAAAATTGGAGGAAGAACTTTATTTCTGCTGCCTTTCCCCCAAGGCATATTTGAATGAAGGCAATGAAGCAGTTTGGTCCTTCAATGATCAAATCATTTGGAATTTCCCAATTGCCCTTATCAACTCAAGAAGTTCCAGCTAGTGGGAATACCTGGCAACAGTGGCCAGCGTCACACAAGCCCAGTTCACCTGTAACACTGCCATTTCCATAAACCATGGCTTAGGAAGCCCGGGTCAAGTCTCTTGCCCCTGCCTTCTTCTTCCCCTTGTGTGCTGGCTTTGACATGAAGATCCTGGCTTGTTTAAACCAGAGTTCCTTAGTACATTCCAAACAGAGAAGCCTGGTTTAATGTTGGTTAACCAATCAGGATATTAAGCAGATGTAAAGGAAGTGTGGGCAGGCAGTGTTATTTTTCTAAAAAAAGAGGTGCTAGAATTCACCACGAACACCTCCCTCATTCTCTTAGAATGGCAATGGTGCCCACCTGAAAGGTACTGGAACCCACCTGAGAGGTGCCGGGCCTGAGTTTCTGTGAGTTTCCCCTGAAAAAAAGCCCTGTGTGCAAGTTTTATGCTCATTTCTGGCTTCTTAAGTCATGCTTTATGAAGAGGCAACATGACATCCTAAACAGACCAATGTCTCCACTATCGTTCACATTTCCACAGAAGCCATTTTCCTTAAATGTGACTAATCCCTGCTGTTATTTCTCTAGGCCAGCCTTCCCTAGCTTTGTGCCCTATGGATGTTTCAGAGTACAACTCCTATCAGCCTCAGCCAGCATGGCCAATGGTCAGGGATGCTGGGAGCTGAAGACCAAAACATCTGGAGGCTGTCATGTTGGGGACGCTGCTCTATCCCCCCCAAAAAAACTTGTACATTGCCCATTACTGTTATTAACACAGCTCTTACCTCCACCTTGTATCTCAATGCAGAGTCCGTCATTGAGGCACGGGTTGCTCCTACAGGCACCGGTGTGTGGGCAGCATTGCCGAACGCCTGCCTCTTCAACAACACCCCTGGACCTCTTTTCCTTTGGTATGACTACCAGGTCTCTTCCATCGAGCATAATGGCATTCAGGCACCCTCTGAACCCATCAGTGACCCTCTGAGCCTGATGGTGCTGCACAAACCCTCCAACGAGCAGATCTCTTCTGGAATGGGAAGGGTTGCAGGCCTCGGGGAGCTGCAGAGAGGCATTTCCCAAGCTGTCAACAAGCAAACGGATGGAATTGCCTTTCACTTCCAGGAAGACAGAGTGCCACTTTCCGTCACCCACAAATTGGCTGGACGAAAGGTTACCGCTGAAACCATTCCGACATCTGTACCAAAGGCAAGGCACTCCATTCACAAGCTGCAAAACATACCAAAACAGGTAGAGGTCTTTGCTTTTTAAATAGATAGATAGATAGATATAGATAGATCGATAGATCGATAGATAGTGTCCATTTTGCTTTCTTGTTCTGTTTTTAGAGTCTGGGGCTGCACTCACACTATATCTTTAAGCACATTCTAATCTAAGCACATTTCCCTCCTCAATGAATTCAGGGCATGGCAGTTTGCTAAGGATGTTGGGAATTGTAACTCTCTGAAGAGTTAAGTATAGTGCCCAGAATTCTTTGACTGGGGGTAGGGATGTGCTTCAAATGTGGTTTAAAGGTACAGTGTGTTCACTGCCTAAGCATCAAACACAATTTTACAGTGGTATTTTATTGTGGGTTCCCGCACCAAAATGATATAGATAAACCAAATAAAATGGAAACGTGAATCCAAAGAAGCTAAGAAAATACAGTACATACATTATAACCCAAACTTGCATTGTCATTAATTAAGATTGAGTCTTCATAGAATTTACAGCCATTCAAAATTCATAGTAATCATGCCTGCCATTTGGGCCTTAGATGATTCAGAAGTAAAGAAATAACACTGGCACTCAGAAAGACTTGACTGACGACTTGCCTACCAAATGGCTGTGCAACAACTCTGTTCTCGCCCTCTTGTTAATGCTACAGAAGTTGCTGCCTAAGCTGGAGCTGCTCTTTTGCTGGCACCAGTAGAGGAGTGTTGGCAGAATCCAAACAGCGGAAGGCAGCTGACAGTTTTGCACTGGGGAGAGTCAGCAGAGAAAACATAGAGGCAGAGAAAAAGATCGATTGTAATAGTCAGCAGCTTCTCAGCAAGATGGAAGCAGAGACCAGCTGCTCCAGAAGACCTACCTATTCAGCTAAGTTGTTGTGTGCACAGAACAAGGTCTCCCCCTCCATGCCTCCTAAATCTGCTCTGGAAGATTGGTGAAACCTCCAGAACAGGGTTTTTGGGGGTGGGGGTGTCCTGCACCCCCCACTTAGTGCCATGTTGAATTCCACCCTGAACATTCATCCTGATTTGCTTACACAAAGCTAATGTGGAGGTCAGATTATCCGTTTTGTTTATGCAACCATGAGCACTAGTCCTGCATTCATCCAGATTTGCTTGTAGGAATGTGGGATGCCCACATTTTTCAATACATTTTCCCCACTTTCAAACCACAAAAAGTCTTATTATAAAGTGGATCTGTTGTGCTGGGTGTAACGGAGCCCTTTGTTCCACTTTAATTGCGAAAACCTAAAGTTAGAGCATGCTCATGAATCCCTCCTACGAAGGGCAATAGTTCTGTCAGCAGAAGCATTTTGGCTTTCCAGATGGAATTACCCCCCCCCCCCTTTTCCACTAGACGTTTTCCTGACTCTCCCCAGTCAATTCCAGGGGGAAGATGAAGGCAGAGGGTGCAGGAATAGTGGTGAAGATCTGCCTTGACAGCTGCTGTGGTATAGTGACACATACTGGAGTGGTTGTGGTGAAATTGCAACTTTACACAGGTCTCAAGGTGGGGGGGGGGGGAACCTACTTTCCCTAAGGATATCCTTTCTACAGAAATTATATAGTATGAATAAGGAGCTAGTTTGTTGGATTTTGTTAAAAGAAAATCATTATTCTCAATGAGGTGGGATTACAGTGGTTTTCTTTGGAATGAATCATTACAGTCAAGGAAATACTATACCTTACTTCCTTTCTAGAACAATATTTATTTTATTCTTCTGAAACATGCTATTACTACCATCAATATTCTCAATAACAAATAAATCATAGTGAATAGTAAGATATACATATACCCACACGAAACCTATAGCTCACAGATCACAAGATGAGCCTGCTGGATCAATGCAATGACCCATCTAGTCCAGCTAGGAATCAAAGCAGGGACCTTCTGCACGCAAGGCATGTGTTTGGGCATTGAGTTATGGTTCCTACCCTCTTATTAAGCCCATCCTATCACTTATGTTTATGGAGGACTGCAGAAGAGTGCTTGCCAGAATGCCCTTCCCTATGGAATTTATTCTCCAAAAAGGCCTGTCTAAGCCCAGCCTATGTTTCGCAAGTGAAAAATCTGTTGCAATTTCTGCAAATTACATTTTACTGTCTTTTTTTGTTTCCTTGTTAGGGAGGGGCTTCATACCTGTTTGATTGTTGGCTGTGCCTTTGTGCCTTTATAACATTATTTTAATTTCATATGTTTTATACCATTTATGAGCCACGCTGAACAGCTTTGCTCACAGAATGTGATGTAAATAGCTGTGGAGGAAAGCTGTTGGTTTGCAAGATGTTGGGAGGGTGAAAGGAAGGGGGGGGGAATCTATTTCAAGGAGTGAATGATAGAACAACCATAAAGATACAATTTGACCAAAGTTAATCACTTTAAGATGCTGCTGATGTCAGCCAAGCAGACTGCTTCATTCTCCTGTTGAAATCAATGGGATTTAAATGTGCTTAGGACAGATTGTGCACTGAAGTATTAAAATGAGTAAAATAGCTGTGTGGTTTTTTTAAACTAAACAAATGGGCCAAGGGATTCAAAGGTAATTTTAAAGTAATTTGTTTCCTCTGCTAAGTGCTGTGCTGTAGTAATGGCGAAAGATATATTAAAATTTTAGAATCAGTAAGTTAAAAGCTCCTCTTTCTGCATCAAGGTGCATTAAACTCAACCAAGGACCATCAAATAAAAAGAAAACTGTATCTGGAGGGTGAAGTTCTTCCTCTGCTGCCAAGGGAGAAGCAGTGAGCACACCTTTGAATTCCATAAAGATTCTAAAAGTACAGCCAAAAAAGAAAGAAAAGGGAATGATATCAGATTAAAATGTTCCTGCTTCTGGCTAGATGTCTTGAGTGATGAAACTCATCAAGAGAAATATAAGCACATGTTGGTGCTTGACTAAGTCTCTTCTTCTTTCACATGGGCTGTTCATCAAGGAGTAAGTCATGTAGGATGACCCTGAAAAAATGCCTGTCATCAGCTAAAGCAGGGGTCGGCAACATGCGGCCCACAAAGACTGTTTTACCAGCCCACGAGCCGCCCCCGAACCGAGCCGCCCACTCGGTGAATCCCCCACATGCTGCGCTAAATCGGCACAGCACGGTGCAGGGGACTTGCCGAGCAGTGCCAGAAATCGCGTCTGCACACGTGCAGATACCAGAAATCGCATCTGCGCATGTCCAGACACCAAAAATCGCTTCTGCGCAGGTGCAATTTTCAGTGTCTGGGCATGTGCAGAAGTGATTTGCGGTGCCACGGACATGCGCAGACGCAATTTCTGGCGTCACGCTGCGCCAGTCTGGCCCACAGACAATCTCCGTGGGAGTGATCAGGCCCATGGCCAGTAAACCTTGCTGACCCCTGAATTAACGCATAGGTCAATGAAGACTTGGGTCATCACCTCTAGGTTAGATTACTGCAATGAGTTATACTTGGGGCTGCCTCTGAAGACAGTCTGGAAACTTCAGCTGGGGCAGAATTCAGCAGCCAGGTTGCTTACCCGGGCAAGATGGTTTGAGCATATAATGCCAATCCTGGCCCAACTGCACTGGCTGCAAATTAGTTTCTGGGCCCAATTCAAAGGGCTGGTTTTGTCCTATAAAGCCTTAAACAGCTCAGGACCTCACTACCTCAAGGATCGCCTCTCCTCGTATGAACTGACCTGGATTCTGTCATCATAATCTGAGGCTCTTCTTCATGTGCCTTCTCCATGATAGGTTCGGAGGGTGGCAACATGAGAACAGGCCTTTTCTGCAGTGGCCCCCCATTTGTAGAATTCCCTCCCCAGGGAGGCTCGCCTGGTGCCTTCGTACTTATCTTTAGGCACCAGGTGGAAACATTTTTCTTCTCCCAGGCCTTTGGCTAATTAAACAATCTACACAGCCTTTTAAACTGAGGCAGGGTATTGTTTTGTTTGTTGTTATATTGTGTATTTTTGTGTTTTTCTACTGTAAACAATCCTGTGATCCTCCTAAAGCCACCAAGATACACCAAAACCACTAAAATACATAAAATAAATGTTATCTGTCAAATCTGAACCATTACTAATAAAAACACAAGCTATGGATCACATAAAAACAAAGATAAGAAGTTAATTAAAATTGTGGTGAAACAACTAAACGGAGACCTCAGCTTAGAGGCTGTGCCTGTGATAGCCAGCGCTAGGAAAACCTGTGGAACTGGATTTCCAAAAGTGCTAAGCATCTCTCTAATTCCACCAATTTCAGTATGAAAAGCCAGAGCTAGACCAGGATCGAGAAATTGGGGGGATTCTGTCCCACAATAAGTGACAGTCTTCCATCCAGCAAAGTGTTTCATCCAAAAAGATAAAACTATTAGGAGATGTGCGAGAAAAACAGCAACAAGATGCGCGAGGTGTTTTTTTATCTCAGACTCATTGTGTAAACAGGCTAGATCATTAAAAGCTAATGAATTATGTGTAGTAATTATTATAAACTGTCATCAGACTACCTGACTAGCTATAATTAGCTGAGCGCTTTGCCTATTCATCTTTATCCAATGGCTCCTGAGTGTTAGAAATGTAGGAGGCAATTCTGTGGCTGCCTTCTTCTCTTATGAATCATCAAAGGATATTCAATATTTCCAACCTCATGCCCGTTAAGCATGTTATTTTTCATTGAATGCTGCGTAGGAGACCAGACAGCCATTTTGTTGAGCAGTCATTCTTTTTTTCCTGCATGAAGATTAGCCAATGCTGGCTATTTAACAAGCATTCATTCCAATCTGTTTGCTGATGTTGCATCAAGGCAAGCGTTCCTCACACCTCCCAGTGTCTTTCCCATTACTTTCCTTATCACAAGAAGTCTGATATTTTTGGGGAATAGGTTTGTTGTGCAACCTCTGCAGATCCACCATAATTGTGCGAACTGAATGTGCAAATTTTGTCTTGAAGATTAGCACCTAATTCAGTTTAAGCAATTGTATGAGTGTTGTTTAAGAAAGTGGATGGTGAAGGTAAAAAGCCCCCATAGACTTCATGGATGATGCCTGTCCCTTCAACCCCACAGTGGGGTTAACAGTAGGTTCAGGCTGAATGGGAACACATGGGGTGGGAAGGGGTGAAGTTCCCATTCCCTCAGCACTGCTCTGTTGATTAAATCAGGTGCTCGATATGTAGACAAGGGCCATAGCTCAGTGGTAGGCCATCTCCTTGCATGCTAGTTCAATCCTCAGCATCTCCAGGTAGGGCTGGGAATATCTTCTGCCTGAAACATATTTCCTCCACCTGGAGATCTGTGGCCAATCAGTGTAGACAACACTGAGGTAGATGGACCAATGATCTCACTCAGCGTAAGGTAGCTTTCTATGTTCCTATGTTAACAGGGTGAGCAGATGACAGTCTCTTGCACCACATCAGTTTTGACCCCAAATGTGAGAAGCTTATTCATTCATCCAGATCAACCACATGGCCCATGACACTATATTTCAGCACATCTCCACTTGAAAGACACAGATATGTATTGAGATAATTATGGCAGCCTGTGGAATTGATGATTGCTGTTTCCTGTGTGGCCAGGATGAGAGGAACTGAACCATGAACTCGAATCATGGTGAAATGGAAGCCCTGAGGCTTCCCAAGTTCATAAGTTCATTGAATTGGCAGGATACCCTGATACTGAAAGCTCTGCATTGATTGCCAGTTCATTACCAAGTTAAGACTGGTATAATCTGTATAAAGCCTGATGTCCCAAAGTTATCACATATTTGTTTAGCTTCTACATGAACTAAGGCCTTTAGTACAGTGGCACCAGGATTCTGGTACACTGTTCCTGCTGAAACCAGAGGGGCACCTACAATTTTAGTTATTTCATTGTCTGCTGAAAACAGGCAGTTGTAATTGGAGAATTAATTTGGTTCACTGTTGACCGTTTGTTCTGTATATTGTGATTTTATAATTCTATTATGTTTTAATGATTTTATCGTACACCACAATGATATTACTTTTATAAGTAGATATACTTCTTTAAATAAAGATGGAAACTTACTGACTTCTCAAGAAACCACAATGGTTGGTTTTTTGGCCTCCCCCTCCTTTTGTTGTTGTTGCAAAGTGCACCTCTACATATAGAATCAAAGAGTTGGAAGGGACCCTGAGAATCATCGTCCAATGCCCCGCAATGTAGGAATATGCAGGTGTCCTTTGCAAGGATCAAAGCTGTAATCTTGGTGTTATTAGCACCACACTCTAACCAACTGAGCTATATATGTAGGTGCTCTACATTTGAGATGAGGAAGGACATTGTGCCTGCTTCCTTGGGTTGCAGGGTAGTGGTAGTGGAGGATGTAAGGATCCACAATTCCTACCTGCAGAACTGCGCTGTTGGTTCCATTGGTAGTGAGCAGGACGGCATGGAGCTGATGGGTTTTCAAGTGGAACTGCATTTGCCAATCCCTTTTACCTTGGTGGTGGTACCATATGTAGCTGTGTCCACTGAACTTCAAAGCTGTACCTGGAAACGAAAGTTTAAAAAAGGCTGTTTTCAGAAACAGGACATCATACAGTACTCTTCTAGTTCTATGCATTCTTTATCCTGAAAATGATCTATAGTGATACTTAATAATAATACTTCACATTTATTTACTTTTGAGTGTGATTTGGACATGCATGACCAGATCCATGCAATAAAGGAAGCCAATATTGCTGCCCCCAGTATTGCAGGCGGGAGGACTGAGAGAGTGTAGCTTGCCTAAGTCTACCTAGCAAGTCATGGCAGAGGTGAGATTTGAACTAGGGACACCCTGATTCAGAGCTCAGTTTCTTTAGCTGTAAGGCTACGCCAGCTCTGCTTCCCCAAGGCACAACATCACAGGGGTTTTAATGAACATCCCTTGCATTCCACATCACAAAAGTGCATCAGACAGGCAGTGAAGCCATCAAAATTCACATTTTCTACTGGATGACAGTCTCAAAAATTAATTTCCAGAGGCTTTCATCTGCCCCTGCTGCCATAAAACACCTCTCTCCCATACTGATCTACAGCCACAGCCACTCTCAAACAGCTGGATTTTATCCCTGGTGGCGCAGTCTTCCATTGCATCTTGAGACAGACAGATGCCATCAAAAGCCTCTTGCATTGTGAAAAACACACCTAGTTGAAGCAACACTAGGTGTAGCAGCATGCCAAGTATCTGAGATGGAGCAGGGAAATACCAAATTCCCTGGCCCACCGGTCCACTGCTGCTGGAGCAACAGTGCAAGGAAATGGGTGTATGGGAAAGAAACTGGGGAGAACAAGGCAAGCAGGTAGGTTTCACAGGGATTTCACAGGAGGGCAGGGGGAAGGATTGGACCCTGTTGTGCTTCCAGTGACTACATAGGAAGCTGACTTCTTTGGAGTCTGACGGTTGGTTTATCTAGCTCAGCTGATTGGCAGCAGATGTCCAGGGTTTTGTATGGGAGGGATTTCCAACCCTATCTAGGGATACCAGGGATTGAATCTGGGACCACCTGCATGCAAGGTGTAGGCTCTGCCACTGAGCTACAGGTTAGTTTGGGGGTGGAGTAGCTATTTTCTGAGTTTTTGGAAAGACATTATTTTTGGTCTGAACGACAAAGATGCAAGAAAGGTGTGTGTGTGTTTTAAGAAACAAAACATGCAGGGCATTCTACAATGTTCAAAAAGGACACCAACAGAAAACCCTGAACTACTTTCAAGGAGGTGATTTATCAGAAGACTTTCTCACCATTGCAAGAGCACATTTGTTCCAAACTGTGCCGAGGAGTGAGGACGCTGAGTCGGGCGGTACTGTAAGTGAACACCATGCCCGGGTCAAGCTGCATTGTCTCCCTGCAAGCGCGCTGAGTGGTACAACCCCCCTCCTGGCATGGGACATGAGTCACCTTCTTCATCTTCAGCCCTACTCGCTGGTCCATCTCTTCAGCTGACTCAGAAATCCGGTTAGCAAGGAAGCTGGGCTGAAAGAATGGATGATGAGGCTCCCCAATGGCCAGCAGAAGGTCCACTCCACTGGTAGCACCTGAAGGCTGCAAGCTAGCCATGTGGATGTTCTGCCGCCTGGTTTCAAAGATGCTTCCCAGAAACCTTTGCAAGTTGCGCCAGTGATCGCCTATAAACTCCTCGGGGGTGAGGTGGCGGAAGTGCAGCACCACCGCCTTATCCACAGCTTCCTGGCTGAAGGACCACACGTGGATGTGGACGCTGGTTGTGGCTGCAAAGGTCCCATCACTGACAGTGACATTCAGGGCATAGTGACCGTGTGGGAGACTTTCGTCTGCAATTATCTTCCCATCTGCAGCCCCCACGGAGAAGTGTCTCTTTTCCGGCCCTTCCGACTCCAGAGTGTACAGCAGAGTGTCGTGAGGGTCTCGATCTGTGGCATGGATTTTGCCAAGAACCCCACCGCGGAATGCTCTTTCATTAGTACTGATGAAAATCTCTAGAGAGAGGGCTGAAGGTGGATATCTGCTTTGCTGCGTCACCCGGATGTTTACAAATGCAGATGAAGAGAGAGGAGGGATACCACTGTCTGTGACCTATTGAGGGAAATCCAGCAGATGTTTACAACTTTGCACTAACACTTGTGCTCAGCGTGTTGCTAGCATGCCTCCGTCTCCTCCTCAAGGTAAGAAATGATGTAATATACAGTTAACGGCTCACACTTGCATAATGAAAGGGTTAATCTGAGTTCAGGTTGCCAGTGGGAGTGGAGTTTAGCAGGCTCCCGGCAGCCTTTTGTTTCCTCTCTCTTTGAGCTTCCTGGAAGAAGGAGCCATGCGGCCATGGCTCCCTGCAAGTGAACTGAATCTCTCTAAATGGAGATTTTATAACCAGCATCTTTGCTAACCCAACAAAGGAAGGAAGAAAACCAAGTGCTTTTATTTTTAAGTTGTTTGGAACCATTTTTCCATCTTTATTTTACTGCCGACAGATGGAGACATTTATGTTGTAACTTCTGAAATTCTGTGGGCAAAATAGTCACTTGCAAAGCTGAGTGTCTGTAATTTATTCAAGGCTAAGTATTTTGTGGGGAATGTTTGTTTAAAGGTGTGGGTTACCAAAGGGTCTTTCTGTGTGGGTTACCAATGCTGTTGGAGCAGTGGCACTGGGGAAGCGGCTATTTAACCCAACCATTAGTGTGATTTTGCAATCAAAACACACACTTCCAAGCTGCTGTTTGCTCTGTAAGGTACTTGTAGCTTTCTCTCAGCAGAACAAACAGGTGCACTTTTGATGTGAGAAATGGCCCCTTAGTCAGCATTGCTGCTCTAAGTCTAAAGAAACTGGCAGCTCTCCAGCCCTGTGACTCCATTTCATTTATAAAAAAATTGCTGGGAGAGCCACTCAGAATCCTCCCACGTAATGTGTGATTTGAGCCTAAGATGGATCTACCTGGACTTGCAGAAGATATTGTTCTTTTGTTCTTCTGTTCAGGATGGATGATGTCAGCAACACTCCATCCTGATTGATCTGGAATGCCTTTCCATCATTCCCTTCAGTGATCTGGAAAGAATATGGAGGACCGTTCTCTGGGGAGTCTCTGTCGCTCATGATGAACTCCAGGACACTACTGCCAACTGGAGAGTTCTCCTGAAACGTTCAGAGAAAAAAGTTAGAGAAAGACCAGTTGTCTAGCTAGTTACAGAATGGCCAAGTGGGCTTACAGGTTCAAGGTTCATTTGCAGCTACAGCTTTGGTCAAAGGTCATCACAAAAACAGAAACAAAAAGTGCTAGGGTTATGAATGTGCAGAGCACATGAGCATAATAAAATGTCCCACTTTGTATACTTCTTTAAATGTTAAGAGATATTTTGGTAATTATGCTATAAAGAATCTTCTGGCCAAATGTGAATACTGCAACACAGTTAATATCTTCAAATCCAGTTAAACTCAAGGGCTATGTAGAATGAAATATTCCTGAAATTTCACCGGATTGGTTTTTTTAAATAATTACTGGAAATCTTGAGTTGCCTCTTAGCCTATAGGAAACCCTGTGATTAACATGGCAACTCTTAGGATTATCTTTGAAAAAGACTAATCGGGTAAGGATGATGCTTTGGAATTGATACTTTACCTGAACAGTCACACTGTAATTGAGCTGAAAGAACCTGGGTGGGTTATCATTGACATCAGACACCCGAATGAGTACAGTGGTGTCATTGAAAAAAGGCACCTGTCCATTGTCAGTGGCTCGGACTTTGAGAGAATAGCTGGATATCTAGAAGATATAACGCATGTACCAAGGAGCTTGGTTATTCCAATACACATTAAATAAAGATTAAGTAAAGTATCATTTATGGCCTAATATTATAAGTGCCTTCTACTTCACTAAGACTTTCAGGGTTGATCAGTTCTAAGTCCATGTCAGTCAATCAGTAGTAAATTTGGATATGCAGTAAATTAAAATATAAACAAGGAACCACAGAAAGAGGGGAAGGGGAATCAAGAATGATTGTGATTTATTTTTATTTTTGTTCTGTTTATTGTAAAAGCCTGTAAATAAAATGTAAAAAATAAAAATAAATTAAGATAACTACATTACCCTTATTTTATAAACAGAGATCACAACTCACAGACGGTGAAGCAAGGGTGGAGGATGTAGATGAGATTAGGCTTATACACCAAGTCAAGAAACCACAAATATGGGTATTCTAACCACTGAATGCTCCTGCCCGCCCATTTAAACAGCAGCTCTTACTGCACATTCAAAGTAGCCTTCATATTGATTTCTATGCTCAGTGAATGTTAAGCTACCCTTTCTTATTGACTATCACATTTTATAGTATTATGAACATGTTCAGCAGGTGGGCACCATTAACTTCCATTGTCATTTTGAAAAAGTTCCTCTTTTGTCTTGTGGATGTGTTGCCAGTAGTTTAATTATTCAGTATTAAACCCTAACACATCTTAGCCTCACTCCCACTGAATCTGTCACTCACTTCTTCTCTGTCCAGGTGCTTGGCAATATGGATCTGTCCACCTTTGGGATCAATGATGAAATGGCCCAGTGGATTCCCTACCACAATTGAGTATGTGACCTGGTTGTTCATCAACCCATCCTTGTCATCTGCTAGAACCTGTAGAGAGAAAAAGAGCTGAGTTATTACCACCAGCAACCTTTAGCAGGAAAGAAGCATTATCTCTTGGACAACTTGTGAAGGTTTCACTAAAATAAGCAAAATGGGTGGGTTGGGTTGGCCTGATTGGGGGGGGGGAGCATGGATCAAAGCCATGGGGCAGATTGTGTGTGTGTAACCCTAGGAAATGATAGTCCTGTTTGGAGGTGTTGCTATTTCCTCTGTGTAATGCCAAAGCCCATACCAGCCTATTTAAAAGGTGTCAAATATTGGGCTGATCACTAATATAAACTCAGTGGCCTGATTCTCACACAACCCTAAATTATGCCTTGGCTTTAGCTTTATGTGTGAACCCTGCTCACTAACTATGGTTTGTTTTCTGCCAGAAAAACCTCAATCTGAAACCATGGTTTGGTGTTGCTCCATGAACCCTGGTTCATTTTAACTATGGCTTGGTGCTATGCATGAGCCCAACATTCTTCCTTAACCATGGTTTCTTTGGCCACCCAGAGGCTTGACAAGCTGCAAAGTCACAAGGCAAGAGCAGCTGGAAAATAACCCCAACTTTGGAGAAGCAAGCTATGGCTTGTTTGATAGTCTGCGGAACCACTCATGGTTTGTTAAAGATGTTAGATGCAAACCAGGCCAGTAATGGCTGCTTTTAAATGTTTCTCTTTATGTACCAATATGTACCAATATTGTGCCTGGTCTGATGATGATGAATGGAGATGGCTATCAGCTAATATGCCTAACAGCATCTTTCCCCACTGCCTTTTCCCACTTCTCCCATTTACTGCATCCATTATTACACCAGGACAAAGGCTCATCTTCTAGTAATAATCCTGTGCTCTGCCCACTGTGTTTTCCTCCACAGAGGCCATTAGAACACAAAACTATAGTGGCAGAGTCTGTGGCCAAAATGCAGTAGTGAAGTCCCATGCTATTTCTTACCGTGAGCACCATTTCACCAACAGCTGCATCTTCACGGATGTCGGCAATGTACGGGTCTTGGCTGAACATTGGCCCGTGGTCATTTATATCCGTGACGTTGATCACAACCATGGTGATGTCACTGAGAGAAGCAGAGCCCTTTCTTATACCCTCGATAGACAAGTAATATTCATGGCTAACTTCAAAATCCAGGCTTCCATTAACATATAATATGCCTGCATACAGGGACAAGAAACGTTTTGAACACCGGACAACCAACATACTAGCTATACAAACTAAAGGGATGGGTGGCTACCTCACAAGCAAATATAACTATTTCAGATAAAGCAACATTTCCATTCAAAGGTGACCAAAATTTACTGCTGTATTTTTGAGTGAGAACAGAACAACCACTACTTTTTCCATTCCCCCACCCTATAAAACCATCGCTCTGCATTGTTGATAGATTTGTGGTCAGATCTGTATGGAAAGGGACCAGGGGAATTAACTGCAGAGTGCAAGAGAAGCACCTGGGATAGACAGGAGAAGCCAATTTACAGAAGAGTGAAAGTATCATTGGCTTATTTTGCCTGTTGAGTAAATAGCCCACTTACCTGTGCTGGAATGGAGCCTGAATTTCCCATGATCATTTCCATTCATAATTTCATACTTGATCTCGGTGCCCTGAGCACTATCCCTTGTTAATGAAGACAGATTCAGAATCTCTGTGCCAACAGCCACGTCTTCCTGTACCACAACCACGTATTCCGTATCCAGGAACACCGGCAGATATTCCTTCAGATCCACTACTGAGACGGTGACAGTAGCAAAGGAGGAGAGGGAGCGTGGAAAACCCCTGTCTGTGGCACACACGGTGAGCTCCAGCGCCGTCACCTGTGATTCTTTTAGAGGCTTCTCCAGCCGGATCACACCAGTTGCCTCCTCTATTGAAAAGTGGCCATTAGCTGACTCAGGAAGAGCATAGACAACTTCTGCATTAAGACCTGGGGGGAAGGGTGGACCCACAAGAGACAGAAATATTACAGGAAAGACCATTTCATTTCCATCATTATTTAATACATGGGAAACAAGCATATCTAGCATCTCATTTCTTGCCTTAATAATCGGAGATCCAGGCTTTAACCTGGAGTAGGTGGCAGTGCTTCCTGAAAATAGCATAAATTATAGGTTTATGTGGACGTTATAGATTGCGTTTTGTTATTATTTGATGAAGAGTGGAAGGTTACTGTGTTTAATTTTGCAAGTGCTTGCAGGTTAGGCGTATTGTCATGGAACAAAACGGGGCAAATCAGATTCTAAGATTCATGTTTCTTTGCAAGAAACAATTATGATCAAAAAGAAGTGGAATCCTTCCAGATGATATCATTTTTTAATAACTTTGGATCACCTGGGGGTTAAATCCTCCATAATAAATGAGAAAAATGATCTGCAGCAAACTACTCTATAGGCAGCATGGGTGTTTCTGCTGAATAAAGATCAGGTTTTTCCATCTGTTTAGATTAAAAAAAATAAAAATAAAACCATGCCGCAGATTTATAAGCTGATTGGAAACAGCAAATAACTGGTTTTGCAATGGTGTGAATAGGGAGAGCTTCTTCGTCTCTGGTAGGAAAGTTTAAAAGTCAGAAAATTTTGGAAAATAGTAATTAACTTCAAAGAAGACATACTTGAAATATATTATAATCCGAGAGGCTGAAGACACTGCAGAAAGAATTTCCCATTAATCTATCTAGGCATAGCTAAAATTGAAACTCAAATTTCAGTAGCATTTGATTTCCACATCATATTTGCACAAATCTGTCAATGGTCCATCAAATAGGTGCTTGCCTATGAGATGTCTTCCTAACTATCCTGGATAGTTCCTATCCTGAACTCTCAATCTCTCTCTCTCTCTCTTTAATCATTAAATTGCTTTGGGATGCTTCATGGGAAGTGGTTCATTAACAAAATAAATAAACACATACATAAATATCTTAACAAGATTACAGAAAACACTCAAGATACTTAAAATTAAGTTACTCATGAATGATATATTTTCTTCATTTGCCAAAAACATTGATCTGTTTGTACTATAAACTTGCAATAAACACCACATTTTGTCTCACCTTCATCAGGGTCCCTTGCGGAGACAACTGCCACGGGAGTCTTTACTGTGGTGTTATCAAAGACAGCTACTGCACAATGACCGGGAAAGAACCTGGGAGCATTGTCGTTTGTATCCTCTAGGTCCACAGTTATGCCCACCTGGCAAAAACGTCCTCCTCCATCTGTTGCCTTGGCAACAAGCTGGTACTTGGGCTTCAGCTCCCGGTCAAGTAATGAAGAAGTGGTCAGCTCCCCTGACGTGGGAATGATCAGAATGAATAAAGACATAAATACGGGGCAGGTTCCATGGAATCCTGAGCTTTTAAATTGATAAAACATGCATGCTTACCTAAACATTAAAAAAAAAAAAGGCTCCAGGCTTTGGAACTCATATTTAATAGCCGATAGCCTTCTCTGCTCTGCAGAGTTGCCTGAGTATGCTATTCTCTCTTGGACTGGTGCAGAGAATTATGGACAGCATGTACCAGTCTCTTTAGAAATAGACCTTACTAGATATTATACTACTGAAAAATCACCTCCTTCAAGAGCTCATACCATGTGGGAATATTCTGAAAATAATATAAATCCAGGCCAGGGATGCCAGAAGGCAACAATTTCCATTCTGACGTGTATTCTTCACAATCAGCGCTGTTTCTATTCTGTTGCAATTCAGTTTTCAACAAATACTACATTATTTATCCCACTGTCTGCTCATTAACAAGATCAGCACAATTATTTATATAACATCAACTGCCCTTATGTAACTTAAATTCATTGCGGTATAAAGACAACATTAAAGAGTAATTAATTAGGCATGGTTTGTGGGCTTAAAGGTGTTCCAGCAAAATTGTGAATGAATACTAATTGTATTTTCTTGACAGGCTATACCCACGTGTGGTGGATATTCAAAATGCTGCTCCACAACACATGCTGACTGGGGCTGATGGGAGTTGAAGTCCAAAACATCAGAAGGGAACCATGTTGGGGAAGGCTAGCACACAGGGACAATATTCTGATCTCTAATGTATGTTCAAAGAGTGGGAATGAGAGTCAGGGATACCCCGGAGGGTTGAGGAAGATGCCCATCTTACCTGTATGGGGGTCTAATCTGAACTCATCAGCACCAGATCCATGGAGACTATAGATGATTTGGCCATTGCTACCAACATCAACATCTGTGGCTGACACTTTCAAAATAGAAAACCCTTGAGGTGCATCTTCTGAAATTCTCTCTTCATACGGTCTCTGGAATGAAAAGAAAGAATGTTTTCAAGTGAAAAGACTGACTTCATTCCAACTGAAATGCCTTGCTGAAGTGGTCCACTCCATTAACAGGTGCCGGGATTCAGAATAGTGATGGAATGGTCATTTCTTGCATTAGCTGAACCGATCTAGTTCAACCCCGATGCCTGAAGTCAAGGCTATGCACCCACAGGCATATGTATTGGCCTGGTTGACTTTGCTATAGCAAATGGTGAAGCTAAGGAAATGCGGACCTAGAGAGAAGAAGACCACTGGAATCCTAATGAAAGATGCTTCAAGCTTTCTAAAAGAAGAATGAGCTACATATATAGGCTATAAATACAAACAGCCATAGATCAGCCTCTGCCATCCTTACCACATTGTGTGTCCTAGGCAGAGTAAGAAAAGGGAAACAGTTACAAAATTCCAAGGAGCATAGCTGCTCAGGAGTACCCAGCCTCCCAGTTCTGGTGTCACTGCGAGAGGGCAGTGCAGCAGGGAGATATGCGCTGTGCAGACACAGTGCAAGGAGCACTGGATTGCTTCTGTTTGTGCACCCATGCAGGGCCACCCTCCCACAATGTCACCCTTCCCTCTCTTCCTCCTGGTAAGTGGTACTGGCACAGCTGCTGAAAGGCCAGGTACAGTGGTACCTCGGGTTAAGAACTTAATTCATTCTGAAGGTCTGTTCTTAACCTGAAACGGTTCTTAACCTGAAGCACCACTTTAGCTAATGGGGCTTCCTGCTGCTGCTGCTGCTGCGCCGCCACCGCACAATTTCTGTTCTCATCCTGAAGCAAAGTTCTTAACCCAAGGTACTATTTCTGGGTTAGCAGAGTCTGTAACCTGAAGCGTCTGTAACCTAAAGCGTCTGTAACCCAAGGTACCACTGTATATGATGGAACACCTCCCCGCAGACCACTCACTCCTGCAACTGTTCGTTAAATAAGGCCAGTGAATCCTCATCATCTAATACTCATAAAGGACCTAAATCAGGCACCTCCAAACTCGGCCCTCCAGATGTTATGGGACTACAATTCCCATCATCCCCGACCACTGGTCCTGTTAGCTAGGGATGATGGGAATTGTAGTCCCAAAACATCTGGAGGGCTGAGTTTGGGGATGCCTGACCTAAATCATATCTAATCACTTTCAACCTAGTTTTTCTCTGGGGCAAGTTTTCTATGAGAGTGCAATTCCATGCATTTATGATTCCTTACCCTGTGCAGCTACCATTTTGATATCCAGAACCATCAAAAATATAAAGAGGCCATAGTTTGTACAAAGAGTGCAATTCTGCTCTGTTTTGCTATTCTCCATCTTCTCCATCTTGAACTATTTTATATTGCCTCCTCCTTCTCCCCCAGTCAGGTACGAGGCAACAGAATCACAACACATGTCACAGTACTTCTAAACAAGAGGAATGGGATGACTCAACACTGCCAACATGTAATTGCTCAAGGGATTGTCCCACCTTACAAGGTGGCTTCTCCAGGTCAGCTTTGGTTCCAAATTGGCACACAGCTAGTGGTGTGGGGTTCTCTCTCTCTCTCTCTCTCTCTCTCTCTCTCTCTCTCTCTCTGTGTGTGTGTGTGTGTGTGTGTGGACGAGGAGATCACAACTTTATAGACATACACAATCACCTGCTTGCATTCAGGGCTGTTATCATTGACATCAAGGACTAAAATCTCCACTTCTGTTGCTGCTTGAAACTTTCCATCAGATACCATGACTTTGAGCAGATATTTTTCTCTTTCTTCCCTGTCCAGAAGCTTCTTGGAAAAAACCTTCCATTCTCCATCAACCTCAGCAACGCTGAACTGTCCCAAGATATCTCCTTCTGATAAGGCAGAGAAGGCATCATAATTGAAGACAATACAAAGTAAAACAAAACAACAACAACCCCCCCAAAAAACTAAGAGTTTAAGGGGAAGAGGTAAAGAAAGGAGACAAGCACCCTGACATTGCCATCCTTTGCATGCATACTCAGAAGTAAGCTACATTAAGTTGAATGGGACTTACTCCAACAAAGTATAGGATTGTATCCTGTGTCTCTTAAGTCTCATTCCTCTGTGTGGGATGTCAAGAAAATTTGTTTGCCCTAGTTATAATGAACACGCTGCCCCACTGACTTCATCTATGTACTTGACTCTGAGCAGAATCAAAACTGCTATATTAAGACTATATGGGCAAGATTCAGCTAATGAGCTCGACTACCAGAAGCCCACTTCTGCGATGGGGCTTTCCAGTTGCCGCCTCTCACGCCCTGAGGGAATCTCGCAGAACAGCATGAGGAGGAGAAAGGGGAGCATAATGTGGCTTAGGAAGGAGCTAGGGATTGCTTTTGAGTTCTCTGATTTCAAAGGGTTGTCCTTCCAGGCAATGCTGGCATGTAATTTTCATGATTTGAAAATTTGATTTGAAACATGTTGCATTATGTGGTCCTTAGTTAATAAATAATAGATAATAATATTATCAGCTGCAGAGATTTCAGCAAGACTAATTGTCGGATAAGGTGCTTCTCAAAGTCAAGCAAACCTACCAGAAAACAAGTTGTATTCTATTTTATCAAAATGTTAGGAGAGATAGGTTCTTACCAGTGATGTAACATGTGACTTGTCTGTTCTGCTCTGAAATATCATTGTCTACTGTTCTAAGTGTGGTGATCATTTGCCCAGGCTCAGCGTTCTCAACCACGGATCCTTTGTAGATTTCAGAGGTGAACTGTGGAGCATTGTCATTTTCATCAGTTATGGTGACCACCACAAGGGCTTGAGAAGAAAGCTGGTGTTTCCTACCATGGTCTGACGCCACAACAAAAAACTGGTAGGTTTCTTGAACCTCACAATCTAGCTCTTTAAGAGTCATGATCCAACCACTTTCACTGTCAATGGTGAAGAGCTCTCTGATGTTGCTTGGTTCTGATCCTAAGCTATAGCTCACTTGCCCATCACTTCCAGTATCTTGATCATTGGCAGTGACCTGAATCACAGTAGTTCCTGGTGGCATGTTCTCCATTACAAAGGCCCTGTAAGGATCAGCCTCAAAAATAGGCTTGTTGTCATTGACATCTTTTACATGGATGTTGATGGACACCAAAGAGACCAAGTCAGTATCCTGGTGTGAGCAGTGAGCCAAAACATCAATCTGGTACCATTTCATCTTCTCATGATCCATTGCCTTTTCAATAGTCAAGGTGCCTGTTCGTTTATCCAAAGCAAATATCCCCTCTTTATTGCTTTCGGCAGTGGTACCTTTCACCAAACTATAGATGACAGGGTCCTCTGCCACAGCACTAACTGATCCTATTTCGGATCCCTCCGGGAGGTCTTCAGATGCTGAGAAGGTGTATAGTGGCTCAGAAAACCTTGGCAAGGACACCTCCTTTGGAACAACTTGAAGATTCACTGGAACCACAGAATTCCAATTGGGAGGTCCTGCATCTTCAGCTTTGATTTTGAAGTTCACTGTCCTGTTTTCTAGCCTGCGGAGACTCTCTTTGACTTGAACAACTCCAGTTGCAGTGTTAATCTCAATCACATCCTCTGCAATAACCTCTTCCACTGAATCAACAGAGTAGGTGACGTCAGCATTCACTCCTTCATCAGCATCATAAGCTAGTACTTGAATGACTGGTGACCCTCTGCTCACATTGGACTGGATAGACAAGATGTATTCAGAAGCTTTGAACTGTGGCGGGTTGTCATTTTCATCTGTGAGTATGATTTTGACAGTACAGAATGCCACCTTTCCTCCCCCGTCCTTGGCCATGATTTTAATAGCAACAACTCTCTCTGTGGAATTTTCTCTGTCCAACTTCTGCAGCGTTTCAATGCGTCCCTTGTCATCTATTGCAAATTTCTCTTGGCCAAGCTTGTTTATGATGGTGTAATCTACGGTGCCATACGGACCATCATCTGGGTCAGTGGCTAGTAATTCAATCACTTTGGTTCCAACCTTGGCATTTTCAGCCAATACTGCTTCATATACATCCTGCTGAAATGATGGACTGTATTTATTTACATTTGTGGTATTGATGTATACTGGCACTGTGGTTTTAAACACGCCATCTGATGCAGAGACTCTGAGGTTGTAAAAAGACTCCAGGTCCCTTTTGCAACGATTCAGTGTGGAAATGATTCCAGAAGTGCTGTCAATGGTGAAATGCCTTTTCTCATTCCCTGAAAGGATTAGATATTCCAATCTATGGGTGTCCCCGCTATCAGGGTCAAAAGCCTGGACTTTTATCACAACATGGCCACAGGGGACCATTTCGCTCACATTGGCTTCATAGTGAAGCTGACTGAACTTGGGTGGGTTGTCATTGATGTCTAACACACTGATCACCACAAGGGCTTCAGTGCTGAGAGGAGGCATTCCATGGTCTGTGGCTCTCACTCTAATGCGAAATTCATGGTTGGCTTCATAATCTAGAACTTGAGTTGTTGTTATTTCACCTGTGCTGGCATCAACATTAAATAACTTTGATGCGTCTGAACGGTCTTCCAAGATCTGATATGAAACCACTTTGTTCCTCCCTGAATCTCTGTCAGTAGCAAGGAGCTGTATGACGGGGGTCTGAGCTGGCAGGCCTTCGGTGACTGACGCAGTATAAACCACCTGAGAGAATTCAGGAGGATTGTCGTTGATGTCCTCAACCTCTACTTCTACCATTGCTTCTGAAAAGGCACCCAGTGCTGTGTCTGTAGCTCTGACTGTAAAGGCATGTTTTGTGTCAGATTCATAGTCTAGTTGGCTGGTGACCATAAGCACACCGGTCTTGAAGTCAATGTTGAAATGTTTAAGAGCTCCTTCTTCCACAATGTTGTATATTAAACGCAAGCCTTCAGGGCTCCGAGCCTGGATGTGGAGAACAGATGTGTAGAGTGGAATGTTTTCAGGCACTTTCACAGTATAGAAGAGGCTTTGGAAGAGAGGGTTGGATTTGTCCCTCACCATGATCAGAACCTCTTCTTCAGCATACAAGGGAGGTTCACCGGCATCTCTGGCAATTACTTTTAGTATGTATTTATTTAAAGTTTGAAAATCAAGGGGTTTCTTGAGTGAGATGTCCCCTAAGTAAGGGTCAATCCGGAAATACTTGTAATCTTCTGCAAAGGAATAAAAAATGACTCCATTATTCCCCAGATCCCAGTCAGTGGCAGAAACCTGAAAGATGACATCACCTGGCTCAGTGCCGTCCTGCATAGCTATATAATATGGCACATTTTCAAAATGGGGTGCATTGTCATTAATGTCATCCACATAGATTTTGAGCATTGCTTGAGACACCCTTGGCGGATTTCTAATGTCCTTTACTTCCACTGCAATATCATAAGTGTCTTGAGTTTCACGATCAAATTCTACGCCCTTGGTCTGTAGCACTCCTGAAGACTGGATCACCCTGAACTTCTCTGTGCCATTCATGATGGAGTAGAAGAGGGGTTCATTCAGTTGATTCCCAATGACACCAAGAGCAACCAGAGTTTGGATATCTGTGGTGTTTTCCTTCACTGTTGCTGTATATAAATCTTGATCAAATTTTAAGGTGCTGTCTTGTGGTTCAATAAAATTAATCCTAACCATAGCACTAGCTGTATATAAACCATCTCCAGCTCTAACTGTGAGTTCATGATAGCGTTCTAAGGTGGTAGCATTCAGTACAGAGATGAGGCCAGTTGTTGGATGAATGTAGAAAACGTGATGAGGATTCCCTTCTAGTATACTGTAGGCTATCTCTGAGTCCGCATCTTCTGCATGTACGGTATAAATCTCCATCCCATGATGGACAGGAAGCCCTACAGAAAGTTCATAAATATCTTTTGTAAACACAGGAGGACAATCATTAACATCCTTGATATAAATGGTGACCTCAGTGGGTTTGGAAGCAAATAAATTGGGTTTCCCACTGTCACGCACATGGACATTGAAGTGATGAACTGGGACACGCTCGTAATCAATTTCTGCGCAAGTAGTAAGAGTGCCCATGCTTGGATCAATTTTGAAAAAATCCAGTGCCTCTGGCTGCAAAATTTCATAGACCAACAAGGCATTAGAATCTTGGTCAGCATCTGACGCATGAATCACGAGAGGCGCATTGTTTTCATCCATAATCATACTTCCCAATGGAACATTCTCATTGATCCGGCCAACAAAGGAAGGTTTAGAAAAGATAGGCACATTGTCATTCTCATCTATGACATAAACAAACACCAGAACATCCATAAATGCTCCTGCCATATTGGTGCCACGGATCTTCAGCTGATAAGATGAAGCCCGCTCAAAATCTAGATTCCTTTGTGTTGAAATAAGGCCAGATTGATAGTTGATGGAAAATAAGCCATCTTTATCTCCTTCTTTTACTTCATAGGTAACAGACGAAAGGCTCGTGGCTGAAACAAGGATGACAGGAGAGCCAATAACAGCAGATTCACTGATCTCTATAACGTACTCCTCCTCTGAAAACTGCGGAGGTGTGCCATCAGAGGGCTTCATAAAAATGTTCACAGTAGCAGAGTCCTTCAGTTGTGGAAACCCTTGATCTTCGGCCTTTACAGTGAGAACAAATCTCTCTTGCTTGGTCTGATCCAGCTTCTGAGACACTGTAATAATTCCAGACAACTTGTCTATAGCAAAGAAGTCTCCATTGTTCCCTGAAAAAAGAAAGAAAGGCTCACATGAAGGATGAAAAACCACCTTTAAATTGCTGTTGTGTTTATTGGTTTTCGTCACCCATCTGATCACCCACCTAACATGTACCCATCTCATTTATTAGGAGATAATTGCTCTTAAAAACACTTGTTGATGGGACCCGCCCCCCAATTATTTTCCCCTGGAACTTGTGCTGTTAAGACAGTAACACACACACACACACACACACACACACACACACATAACAGCCTTTCTAACAGTTAAATAGTTCTAACAGTTCTGATCTACTTTATTTGGAAGTAAGCCATTGCTTTTTCAGTGGCGCTTATTTCTGGAAAAGGACTGCAGCTTTAGGGACAAATAGCCTTACTCAACAGAGCATAATGGGAAACAATGCCTTCCCTGGCAGGCTACACTTTATTTAAAGAGATTTAGAAATGTGAAACAGTATTAGCTGTGCATCAATTCAAAAAGTTAAACAGACTTTCATGCTACACTTAGGAGCTGCTGGCTTGGAGATGCAAAGCTGTGAAAACCGATATAGGGAGCAAAGTGTGTTTGTGTTGCACTGCAAACCAGAGAGCTGAACTCAAAGAAGAAAAATGCTCATAGGAAAAGAATCGCAACTCAGATTCGTTCAACACGTTGGCTAAAATGGTGGCCCATTTTTATTTTTAGATGCCACTTCTGTCCAGAATGAGCAGAGTGATACTGACCTGCTGAACATTTTATGATGTGTCCACATGGTGGGGGCGACAGGAGAATGAATGAATGAATGAATGAATGAATAAACTATAGTGCTTTGCTGGCTGGCATAGCCGAGCAAACAAGTGCTAAGAAAAATTTCCAAATCATACAAGCCTCATAAGATTGGTAAGCAACAATTATTTATGTGCCTTATGATCTCAAGTGATTAAATTATGGTTATAGCAGCTTTTGGAGTATATTTGATATAACATTTATTGTATTAATGGAATTGATTATTTAAAGTAGCATAGCCTTATGGTTTTAAAATGCTTATACATGGTATATTGAACCCATATGAAATATTGTTTTGTGTGTTTGGCTTTGCAGCACTATGTATGAAGGATGAAGGATATATATAGTGATGAAGGATATATTTGGAAATGGGTGCTTTATGCTAGCTACTCCGCCTTCTTTTTGCTCATTAGCATTTGGTGCTGAATACACTATTATTCATATAAACTGAAATTTCAAATCAGCCTTTTTGAGCATGTTTTTGTCTTTTTTTGCTTTACCAGGCAGAGAGCCAAGGTGCAAGCAAGCAGTGGAACCTACTACTCCTCTTTCTTACAGTTTAGGCCTGTAGTTTAGGCCTGAATGAGAGGCAGGTAAACAACCAGGTTGTAATGGTGATGAGAAGGAGCAGGTCTTGTTGGTGGGCTTCCACCTGTGGTGTGTGCCCTTGGCAGATGAACAACCATCTGACTCTTGACTTGATGCTGGTTCTGCCTACTAATACAATGGGAATGTGGTCAATGAATTTGGAGACGGTGGTTAGACGTGGGGAACCCAGAGGCACTGTCTTCAGCGCACAAGATGGAAAGTGAAAGGACAGGGGCTGAGAAAGGACATGAGTCCTGCAGAACCAGGTCCATCTAGCCTAGCATCTTGTTCTCACAGAGGTCAACCAGCACATTCATATGCCAATCCACTCCAGTTCATGCAATTTTCTTGCTCCTATTAGTCTTGCATTTATAGCACACTGGGAAAAACCATATTTAGCTAGCACATGCCATTACACTCAGTATTCAGGGAAACACTTGCATTCATAGGCAGCTATAAATTGCTCGAGTCCCTTACCTGCCTCAAGGCAGTAGTGGATTTCAGCATTCACTCCTCGGTCTTGATCCAGGGCTCGGACTTGCACAACCTCTGTGCCTATTGGGGCTGCATCCAGAACTTCCGCCTTGTAATGGAGGCTGGAGAACTGGGGAGGGTGGCTGTTGCAGTCCTCTACGTGGATGACAATTCTGGCAAAGTCTCGCTTGACCGGGACTTCCTGGTCTCGCACCTAAGTGGCAGAACAGGTGGACGTGTGAATGTCAGTCTTAGAGAAAAGAAGGCATTCATTGCAATGTGACACTTCCCAGCTGCAGAATGCCAAATGGACCTGGGGGAAAGGGACAGTATGGACTTGGCATCGCAACCACTCTCATTCATTTGGATGAACCCGTGAGCCACATCTCAGTCTCCTGATTCCAATGAGTAACTGCATGCAACAGCAACAGAAAAAGACTCCTGCCCTGCAAGTGCATCAACTCCCAGTTCACTGCTGTTCTGCTCTATGTGCACCTATGTGGTGGAAGGCAGGGGCAACCACAGACATCTAGTTGGCTGGTGCTGTTGCACCATGTCCCAATTGGAGCTCAACCTCAGGAGCCAATAAGAGCCTTCATTTGGCGGGTGGGCAGGGCTTGGGCGTGGACCAGAAGGAAGCCTTGTTGGAGGTGGATGTAAATAGGAGCCCTGGGCTGTGGCTTCAGCACTCAGTGTCATCACCAACTTCCCTTCCCTCCCTCCTACAGTTTCAGGATGTTCTTTGATCACTGGTTAAAAAGGTCGCAGTTGGCCCATGGCTGTGAGGTTATTGCAGATCCCATAGCAAGAATGTATGTTTGTGTACATTTATCTATTCCTTACTGTCACATTTTTGGCAGGGAAAGGCATTGGTGGGGATCCACAACTTATGGGGGGACTACCATAAGGGGTATTGGGCATGGTGCTTCAAGGTCTTCACCCTAGCTTGGGGGGCCATGGCCAATGGCCATATATTCGCACATACCGCAGGTTGCCATCTCAGTGGCCCTTGGCATGGTGGGCTGCATGGTGGCCTCAGCAGTAGGGAAGGGTGGTGGTGGGCTGTTCTTCCCAGCAGACAGATACTTACCCCACCCCAACCCAATATATTGACTGCAGCCAGTAAAGTAATGGCCTTGCTTAACCCACAATAGTATCTTTGTGTTTCGGTCCTTGCACCCTGACACAACACCTAGCTGTGCACAGCAACAAGTACACGTTGAGTGAAATTGAGAAAAACTGCTGTAAGGCACTCCAGGCCCATGGGATAGAGTTGGATATAAATCAAATAAATATACAAGTTGCTTTCCTGTGACTCCCATACCATGACTGTCAGGGTGTGCAGCGACATGGATTGCGAATCAAGTGCTTCCGCCATCATGAGTGTGCCACTGCTTGGGTCCATCTGAAAAAGCTTCATGCTTCTGGGATCCACGCTGCTCTGAAGGGTGTAGATCAGTCCTTTCCCATGGTCCTTGTCTGTTGCACGGACCCAGGCAATTTCTGTCCCGGGAGGCGTGTCTTCTGGAATGTGAGCCTCATATTGATACTCCAAGAACTTGGGGGAATGCTGGTTAATGTCAATCACACGGATATAGGCCTGCAAGAGTGTGGGGAGAACATATGTAAGAGAGAAGGCAGGGTGAGGGCTGGAATGATGAGGATAATTCTTAGACAAGCACAGCAATTTTGACAGAAAACTCTAATGTGGTTATTTTTTGTAGCTTTGGAAGTATATTCAGCATACCAGAGTTAGCAGGCTTTGGACGTATGCTCCCTGCCATGTGCATAAATGCATATCTAAAACATGTGCTCCAGAGAGCGGTTTTTGTCAATGACTTGATGTGAGTCCTGTTCTAGGCTTGAGGTCTTTGGTGGACGACTTCTGCTCTGGATATGCCCTCCCTGCTGGTTTCCCACAGGCATCTGGTTGGCCACTGTGAGAACAGGAGGCTGGAGAGATGGGCCATTGGCCTGATCCAGCAGGTTCTTCCTATGTCCTTATGTGGGCTTACATGGCAGTGGGACCAGGTGACATAGGGCCACTGTTTTCATTCCCCACCATGTCCCCAAGTGACGATACTTCAGGGGCATGGAATTAAAAGTGCAGTGAGAACTGCTTGTGATGCCTGTCTGGAAAAGAACATCAAGGGGGCACAGGGCAGGTGTCAGTGGTGGGCTCTACCAGGGTGCCCAGCTTGAACGAGATGACACTATATCTGAAGTGATGACCTCATGGAGGAAGGACCGCAGCTCAGTGCTAGAGCATCTGCCTTGCATGCAGAATTTCCCAGGTTCAATTCCTGCCATCTCCAGGACTGGGAATGTCCCATCTGAAACCTTGGAGAGCTGTTGCCTATCAGCGTAGACCATACTGAGATAGATGGACACTGCATAAGGTAGCTTCTGATGCTCCTAAAATGGCATGGGGCATCCCAGCCAATCATATTGAAGTGTAGGCAAATGAGGCTGAGGATTATGAAGGTGAAGGATAAGAATAAGCAACAGCAAGGGGGACTGAAAAACTCAGACACCATGAATGTTTGGTGATAATCAGTTTAGCTACACTGGATGTACATACTGTTTTGAAGCCAGCACTAGAGTTTAGAAACGTATGTGGTGTAGTTGCACTTCTGCTTATTTCATCCCAGGAAACTAACAGAATAAGGACAGAAATGACATGGTGGGGAAAGTGTACAATATATCAGAAGCAGCCTGGAAATGTATTTGCAAGAGCCTGGAAACGTATTTGTAACAGGAAAAAATAAACCCATCCCTAAGCTCGCTGTCAAATGTTGCAAAGAGAACTTGGCAATCTCTGTCTATTTGATCCAGTTGTTTTTCATCGCAAACCGCATCTTGGAAGGAGACAACCTGATGCAATCGCCTGCTTTCTTCAATGAAATCCAACTTGCCATGATTTTGCAAGAGCAGGTTCACCAACATACCCAGCAGTGATTGTCAATGCCAAAGTAAACAGAAGAAAAGTTCCTGGAGGCTGGGATTGCATGTCAGCCAAGGTGTCAGAAGATGACTCTTAGTGGCAGCAGAACAATGTTATAAAGACGTTGAAAATACCATCAATCTACTACTGAGTCACACTGAAACAGCACCCTCAGCATCTGCTTCCCACCATCTCCTAGGTTTTACATAACTTTAGTGGCTATCAGTAAAGCAATTATCAGATTAAATCCCTGCTAAAAACCTTGTTTTCCCAGGCAAACCTCTACATATGCACTTGTTGGCAGGAGTGAAAGGTGAGGCTACCTACCTGTTGGGAGACAAAATGCATGTCTACACTATAAATATCAGGTCACTTTTGAACTCATTAGCTGTCATGGCTACTGGCCAAAGACCCCCTGAACAACAGAGATCACAGATCTATAGCAAATAATTCTCAGTATCTTGACAAAAGTTACAATTCCCAGATTGCTTCAGAGAGACTCTGACAGCTAAACCAGTATCAAAACAGTTTAGAGATGCCTTCAGATTTGGATTGACACGTGCAAAGGAAAGAGGTGGATTGGTGGAACCATTTTTGGTCCTCACCTTTCTCCTGGACTTGCTAATAGGCCTTACAAATCCTGCCAGTTATGTGCAACAGGCAATTGCATTAGATGCAGAATTATTCTGACTGCTCAGACCCTGGGACATAGAAATCTGCCTTACCCTGAGTCAGACAATTGGTTCAGCTAACTCAGTATTGGCTACATAGACCGCCAGCAGCTCTCTGGGATTTCAGGCAGCGTTCTCTCCCAGGCCTACCTGGAGTTGCCAGGGATTGGTAATGAACTTGCCAATTTAATGAACTTAGGAAGCCTCAGGGCTTCCTCTTCATCATGATTCAGATTCAGGATTCAGTTCCTCTCATCCTGGCCACACAGAGAATACTCATCAATCTCAAATGCCTGCCATAATTATCTCAATACATATCTTCATGTGGAGATGTGCTGAAATACAGTGTCATGGATGATGTGGTTGATCTGGATGAATGAATAAGCCCTTTGTTGTTTTGGGTCAAAACTGATGTGGTGCAGGAGACTGTCATCAGCTCACTCTTTTAACACAGGAAGCTACCTTATGCTGGGTGAAACCATTGGCCCATCTAGCTCATTACTGTCTACATTGACAGGCAGCAGCTCTCCAGGGCTTCAGGCAGCCCTACCTGGAAATGTCAGGGATTGAATCTGGGAGCTTCTACATGCAAAGCAGGTGCTCTAAGCTGCAGCTCTCTTCCATGTGAAAGCTCCTGGAGATGGCTTAGTACAACTCAACACAGCAGCACAATGACCAGGTAAGAGGAAAGGGACTGCAATCTCCTCTCTGACAGACTGCATGTTTGATCATTTACATTAAGCAGTGGTTAGGCTTAGCTTGCGTGCAAACTGAGTCCCTGAGTCTCCAAGTACTGTACCACAGTTGGCCAGGATCTGCAGAGGAAGGAATTTAAGAAAAGTGACACCTTTGATAAGTGTTCTTATCTTTATTTTTTTGCTGTGCATTGAGAAGAATTTGAGCATTGAGTTTGGGGTGTTTTCCCCAAGTGAGCTTGCATGAAAGACGATGCCATTTTGCTAACCTACACAGGCCAAATTGGGAGCCCCTTATAGCACCTTATCCCCCAGTCTTATGCAAATTCAGCTGAATCATGAATTTTTAGCATTTTGGCAAAGTAATTTTTTGAGAGAACTCTATCTGTTTATGTTCTTGTCCTAAGTTCTTATAAAAACTCTCCCTGCGAATACAGAAGAGTTTGGACAGGGCTTTGTGGATGCTCACCTGTGTCTTGATGATGCTCGATCCATCAGTGACCTGCACTGTGAGGTTGTAGTTTGACCTTTTCTTTGCATCCAGGGTTCTCGCAATAACAATGCTGCCCGTGCTCTTCTCAATGTCAAAATCCATGTCATCATCACCACCTTAGAGGAAAGAGATAACTTAAGTAGATAGGGTAGGAGTTATGACGGAGGAGACCAGGTGTCTGAGTAATAGCATCTCCCCGGGCAGGCAGGGATCCAAGAGGGGGAAAAGTATCATTGCAGCTGGTAGCATTTGCAACAAATAAAATATATCCAGAGGCAGGCAGCAGAATAGCAAAAAAGTGGGTGGAAAACCTCTGTGAAAGGCTTCTATTGTCCTCATTGCATCTTTGTTTATTTTCCCTAAGTTTTGCATAGGCTTGAGTGCGCAATAATGCCTAGTTTGTTGATGAAATGCTATACAAGGTGAAGGGAGCTGAAATTAACCAGTGGGACACAGAAGGGCATGTTCTGTTGAAAAGAAGGACTATTGGGAGAAATTGGCAGGGGAGAGGACATTTGCTGGCTTTGCTTCAAGGTGTGATGCTTAAACCAGTTCCCCTCTCTCTGTTGAGACTTGCTCCAATTCATGGATGAGTCCTGGGCAAGGACAAACATCTGTAAGATTTGCAGTGGAGCAAGCCACCCCAAAAGAAGATGTTTTGGAAGCCACTGCAGAGTTCTTATTCACTTCCCCACCATTATTTACAATTGGATAAGGACTTAAATAAAGCACATTTCGCATCTGAAGACTGAAATAAGACAGAAAAACCCGCAGCTTTATTCTCCAATAGTCCATAAAACTAAAGAGCAGGCTGCATAGATGATGAAAGGTAGTCAGAACTTGCAGCCTACCAAATGAAATGCAGCTCACCACCAACAATAGTGACCAAGCAAAGGCTGCAAAATTGCAAGGTTACCTGGCAGGCCACAATACCCATTTGGTGGGCTGCTTTCAGCTTGGAGTGTCACAAGTTGTGTAAGGCTGACTAATCTATGGGTTATTCTCCAAGCAAGGTTTCTTAGAGCTCTTTGTGTGACTATACACTGAGATAGAGAATGTATCCTGCTTCTACACTAGGCATCATCTTGTGGAATAGTGATGCTGTGTTCCCTGACATCTGCATGACATCATGAACAAAACACTCTCCCATTTTTCTCCTTTCTCTGCCTCACCCCATCCCCAGAGCTTAGAAAATATAACTTATAACAGCACAATTGGCTAGCTGCATAATCTCCCCACCACTATTTCACACCTTTTCCTGCCGCATAAGGCCTGTATAAACTGCTCTATTTTGTCCACCATAGTCCACCTCTTTTCGCTGGGAATCAACTCTGCCATGTTAATCCTTCCATTTCCAAATAGCATTTCCTCTACAGCTATTTCTCTCCCCCCCCAAAAAAAATAATAATTTGCAGGCATATGTTGAGGTGGGAGGGGGATCATGATCAGAATCGGAGTCATAGTCCATACTACAGTCCTGACAAATATCCCTTTCAACCAAGATGATCAAGAGTCTGCAAACCGAGCCTTATGAGGAATGGTTGAGGGAGTTGGGGATGTTTAGCCTGGAAAAGAGGAGACTGAGAGCAGGTATGATAGCCCCCTTCAAGTAGTTACAAAAGTCACATTGGGGAAGGGCCATAGCTCAGTGGTAGAGCATCTGCTTTGGATGCAGAAGGCTCCAGGTTCAATCCCTGGCATCTCCACGTAGGGTTTGGAGAGATCCCCTGCCTGAAACCCCAGAGAGGTGCTGCAAGTCAGTATAGGCAATGCTGAGCTAGCTGGACCAATAGGGAAACTAGCTGGACCAATAGTTCCATGAAGCAAAACAGAAGCAACTGGGAGGCTTTGATGGAGGGTCGCCATGGATCTATTGTGTCATGGATAGAGCGCAGCCTTGATGCAGGAGAGATAGGAACTATGGCCATTTTTAAGAAGCTGTAGTTTCTGTGACAACAGAAACAGTTTCACAGATAACAAGGGGAAACTAAGATGCTATTGTATGAGTTCCTGAAATGGTGGAGCAAAACTATATGGACTAGGTAAATGTAGTTCTGCTCGTACAGGCCACCTGACTTGACATGTAAGCACTCCTGGCTTGGGCAGCATTGGAGAAAGTAGTAAGCCTCCAAGTTTAAAAAACTATGTTTCAAATAAAATGAGGCAAGTAGAGAATATGTCAGAGGTGGTGAGGCACTGGTGGTCATCAGCGATCTCATGGGGTAATAAGCAGTTAGGGCCTGCTACACTCACAAAAGCCTATCCCACAATTGCAGTTCCAACAACCATTAGTGGGGGACCTGGGAAAGAATCTTTGGTCTGAGTACTCAGAAAAATATGTCCCTAAGGGGAAATGCGTTTGGCTCTCCTAAAGTAATTTAGGAAGAGCCAGGAATGAAAATGAGAGTGGATCAGAGGCACCAAGATTTTAAAGAAACAGTGCCTTTATAGAAAAAGGAGCAAAAGGGAAAGGGATGGGGCCAGACGACGTCTGGAAGAAAATGAACCAGTAGAACTATTTGAGCAGACAGGTGCGGACATTGTCTGACTTGCATTATAAATCACTTGAGCAGACAAGTGGAAGGGAAGGGCGTTATAGCGCCAAGAGAAACTTTTGGCTTGGAACTCAAGGGCAGCTCTATGTGTGAACTCGCAATGTCCTCTGCTGTGACACTAGGGAAAGTCCACACTTTCTGGGGAAGCCTAGTCATCCTGGGATAGCTCGGTTGGGAGCGCATGAGACACAGGGTCAGGGGTTTGAGGCCCACGCTGGGCAAAAAAATCCTGCATTGCAAGGGGTTGGACTAGACGAATCTTGTGGTCCCTTCCAGCTCTACGGTTCTATAATGCTAATTGAACAGTTGCAGAAACAGACCAGGGCTAGGAAACTAATGGTCCTCCAGATGTTGTTGATTCCCCATCCCTACAGAGGAGCCCCATATATCACTTTTTCCACTGTCTAAAGCAAAAGGCTGCATTCTGTTTCCTTCTCACAGAACTGTTGTGTAGAGAAAAAGAGATAGCCACATATCATGTATGCCATCCCAACCTGAGCTTCTTGGGGAATGGAGGGGGGTAAAACACAATTTCTAAAATAGAAAAGGATTTTTTTATATATAAAAAACTCCACCAATTCTAGCTTGAGTATGTCAGCCAAACAGGGTAATGATTCAGGGCAAAGGATTACCCAGACTTACTGTGTGAAGGAGGTTTATATCTCATATTGTAAACAGTGTCTGATTTAGGAGAATAGATAAATACTGAGATTAAATTCCAAAGAAAGTACCTGCAAGGGGACACAATGCGGGCAGACTGTCCCACACAAAAGTAAACTTTCCTCAAGCATTGTCAATTCTGTACTGTGTTGATTCCTGTCCTGCCTTCATTGTGTTTGTACTCCATTATCCATGCCCAACTGCACCAGGCACAGAAGCATTCCTTGGAGGTGCCCTGAGAAGGACAATTCTTGCAGGTCTGCAAACTATCTGCCTTCAGGAATGGCTTCACTTAACAGAGGCAAAACAAAAACAAACAAACAAAAAACCCCAAAGCCCCAAACTAAATCTTAAGTCTGCAATGTAATGCCAGGAAATAGGAATTACGCACTCACAGTTCAGTACAGCTGAAAGATACATCAAAGATCAGTCAGATGTGCAGGATACAAATGAAATGATCTTGGCACCTAAGAATTATTTCAAAAATCTATGCATTCCTCAAATTCTACCATTAAATGTGCATGAAAACCTACATGAGCCTGGGGAACATCTTACAGATGTTGCAATATACTATGAAAAAGGTAAACCCCCTTCAGAACCATGAGTTCTTGAAGATGGAAATAGGACCACAGTGGACACCCACTGATGTCCCAATTATTAATCCCAGTGAGGTTCATATCTCCAACAACAACAAAAATGCATTGATCATTACACTGGAATATCTAACTAGAATGGGTCTCTCTTAACTTTTGCAAAAATATACAAAAGAGATTTGTATCTTTTGACATCCTTCTGCATAATGAAAGCATAGGGCATTTCTGACTAATGGGGGAAAATAGAGAAGAATAGGAATAAAACATAATAGGTTTTTATCAAGGGAATTGCTGAGCATTCATAGCAGCTCCCTACCAACTTAACATTTAAAGACTTTCAAAACCCCTTGTGGTTTCTCTCTCTCTCTCTCTCCTGTTGGTTTGTTTTTATTGCTGTGGGGAATAGTTATGATTACCACATATTTCCTGTGAGCTGCAAATATGTGTTTTTGCCCGTTTGCAACACAAGAATTTTCATTTAAGGTTGGGAGAGTGCCAGAAATGCCATTTTGCAAAGTGCGATGGGTAGGTAATGCAAGACCTGCACAATGCTTTTTGTGGGACAACTGCTTGAGTCAGCCTCAGTGCTGCTCCTTGCCAGCGCCAAGGCCTTGACTCTAATGTGCCTGCCATCTGAAATAAACAGCCTTTGTTCACTCGGGGCATGTGCGTGCCAAATAGCTGGGGAGCCGAGGCAGCGTTTTGTCAGCCCAGAGTCACCCTCAGAGCTCATTTCCCAGCCACATGCCACTCACCTGTGATATTAAACCAGAGTTGGCCGAGCCCAGCCTCCACGCTGATCACTCCCACCATGTGGTTCACTGGGTCTGTTTCCATGACAGCAAAGTTGAAATGAGGCTCATCAAAAGTCAGAGGCTCTGAGGACGGGAGGGGCTTAGGGATCCAGTTGACATGCAGCCTCACGCTGGAAGAGAGTGGGGGGCTGCCGCCATCAGTAGCCTTGACCTGCCAAGAGAGACATCAGCTTACATGCAGTGGAAACCAAAGTTGCTCTTGCCAATGTTCCGAGTGTACCTAATAGGATAGGACATCAGCCTTTCACGGTTCTATTGCCAGAAGCACCACAAAGTGGGCAGCCTGCAGTTGCCGTTGCCTTTGCCTTCCTTCAGCTGGTAGGTAAAGTGTACACCTGGATGGCATCCATTTGCTTGCCCCTGTTAACATAGCATGGTTCATACAACAGTTTGATAGGATTTCTTTGGCATATGTAAAGCTGCCGACTCTGGTCTGACTCTATAGCCTGCAAAGCTTGTTGCTCAACACACAGAGGAAAATAAGAAGACCCCTGCTGGGGGTCCTGCTGCCCACAGTGGTCAGCCAAGATGCCTCCAGGAAGTTCACAAGGAGGGATTGAAAATAGCAACCCTCTCTTGCTATTCCTCCCCAGTAACTGGCATCCAGTGATGACCCACCAAACTGCTCTTGGACTACCCATGCAAACTGAAGAAGGTGATGGAGTATTTTGTCTTCTGCAACATATGTGTTGCTGTTGTTTCATGGCAGGTTTGGGCTAAATAGGTTTCACAGGTTCTTGATGTAATTATGTTGCCCTGAGATCTATGGATGAAGGGCAATAGACCAATGAGACAACAACAACAACCTGAATACCATCTTTGACTACAAGGCCCTTAAATACTCAAGAAAAAAACTGCTGTCTGCCTCCATCCTCCTTAACTTCCTATATCTCACTCACCGTCAATATGTTGTACTCCTGGACAGGAAAAGCCTTTTTGGAGAAGACCATGCCTGTCACTGGGTGGATGCTGAAGACTCCATCACTGTTTTCTTCAAGGCTGTAAGTGACTTGGCAGTTCAGTCCCTCATCCCGATCTGTGGCAATCATCCTGTAGACTGGCAAAGGAGTCTCAGATCCCGTTTTCTGTGGTAGATTAACCATGAAGAACTTCTGGGAAAATGTGGGAGGATTATCATTGACATCTGTGATTTGGATTACAACTCTACTGGTGGATTTCAGAGTTGGATCCCCATTGTCTGAAACAGAGACCTATAAGGAAAAGCCAAAAGAGTATCAGATCTGAAACCTCAAGAAAACAGTTAATGCTCATGAAACCCAGATGTTTCCCTGCTATGGCAGAGGAGAAGACCCAAGGTCCTCCAGATGTTGCAGGATGCCTGTAAGCATAACCAATGCTCTGGGATGATGAGAGTTGTAGTCCAGCAACATTTGGAGGATCTCCTAATATCTGACAAAGTCTTCTGGGAGTGGTTGAAGTGTTACAATGTGTGGTTTGCCTACATTGAGGGTTAAGGGTTGTATCCAATGCTGCTGTCACATTCAGGCAACAGACTTCTGCTTGCTCAATGGAACCTGCCCCTGCTTCCCCTCAGGCCCCCTGTGTACCCTCAAAATCTGCTCCAGAGCATTGGGGGACCCTTTTGGAGCATGAAAGGAGAGGAGAGGAACGGGAAGTCCTGCTGCGTGAGGAGAAGACCCATCATGCAAGCTTGGATACAACCTTACAGAAGCTGCCTTACATTGAGTCATTGGTTCATCTAACTCGGTGCTGTCTATACTGGGAGTGGTTCAACCCGGTTTCAGAAAGTGGAGATGCGAGGACTTTCTGCATGCACAACACTGGACGGCAACCCAAACAGTTCGGTGTGCATGCGTTAGGTGGAGAGATATTAGTGAATCAAAAACCAGAGACCACTCATGAAGGTGTCATCTCAGAGATGCTATCCAATACAAAGCATTCTCTTTTGCATTGACTCTTGCCAATAATGAATCTTTGAGCAAGCTGAAATATAGCTCATTTGAAAGAGCTGCTGTTTGTAGAAGCTAGCCTGCAAAATGGAGCAGACTCTCTCAGGCAGCAGCCAGGAGCTACTAATGTAAGTTTAGACTAAGAATGCCAACTGGCCAGATGGGAAAAGGGTGGTGGTGATGGGGAACAGTATGTCTGAATTTCCCCTGCTTTCTTTGGAGTTATTTGGTAGAAAGGCAAAGAGAAAGAAAGGATGAGGGGCATCTTATGTTGTGTGCTGGGATCTATCCAACCTCTGCTCCAGACCCAACAAAAACTGCTAAAGGGCTCCAAGCCTGTACTTGCTTCTGAAAGAGCTTCTGTACTCCACCTTCTGACAGAGACGACTCTTCAAAAGTTGGCAATCTGAATATGTGCTACATTTATTGAAATGCATTGTTCCTAGCAGCACCCATGAATTTTGGTATGTGCTATTTTCTCAGAATGTGTTTGAGTGCAGCACAGTGGTTAGAGGAATGGCCACAGCTCAGTGGTACAGCATCTGTATCTGAAGAGCCACTGTCAGTCAGCATGGACAAAACTGCATTACATGGCCCAGTGATCTGACTTTGTTTTTAAGGCAGCTTCTTATGTTTCTTTTGGAGGATGGGCTAAAACCCAGTGGTACACCTTGCATGCAGAAGGTCACAGGTTCAATCCTCAGCATCTTCAGGTTATAGCCGGGAGACACCGCTGACTGAAAATATAGTCCTTACACTAAAACCAGCCTTCTCCAAACCAGGGCCTTCTAGGAATTTTGGACTACAACTTCTATTATCCTTGACCACACTTGGCCATACTGGCTGAGACTAAGGATGGGTGAAAATATCCGTTTTGTTTTTTCTCTGTTTCTCATTTTCCCAACCTTAAGAGCAGTTCCCCACACATCCACATCAGTCTGTGATATTATTTTTTCTTAAAGTCAACGAAGATTCAGCATTCTAGTGTGCATTTCTCTTAATATACACATTTTCACATAATTTTGTTGAATAAATACTTTTTTTTTGAAAAGCTAAAGAAATACATGCATTTTTATGTACACTTTACCCTAATTTGTGCATTTTTGTACCATTACTTTTCTGGAGCAGAGTGTGAATTTTGAAGGGTGCCTGTGTTTCAGTTTGCTCATTGTTTTGGAAAGCGTAGATTGGATAAATTTCCCTTTATATGCAAGTGGAGTCAAATTCCTCAGTTCTCCCTGTCTGAGACTGATGTAGTTTGAACAGGCATGTCCAATGTCTGCTTCGGGGGCCTAATCCGGCCCACCGATCAGTTTAATCCAGCCCCTTGGCAGTTTATTTCCCGGAGTAAAATCCTAAAAAAAACCTCAACAACTTGAATCCTAAAAAAAGGCCAACTTTGGTCAGCCCTTTGGTCGGCCCTCATGGCCCTTCACTTCATCAAATCTAGCCCTCTTTGAAAAAAGTTTGGACACCACTGGTCTAGAACATCTCCTATGAAGGCCTCAGAACCTGCAACCTACTGCCTCTTAGCTCGGAGACTGCATTTCAGTACCATGTACTAATGAAATCTCCTAAGTGTCCATTTTGTCAAAAGGGGCAAGAAACCACTTGCCCCCCCCTTTACTCTGCAAGGGCTTAGCGGCAAGATTCCTGTTGCAGCCCTTCAGTTAAGAAGCTAAGCCAGGAGGTATTAGTGAGGCTGGCACTGGGGGCAAACCCACAAAAATGCAGAACAAGCAATTATCTTCCTGAGCAATTTGGAACTGATGGAATGAGTCCTCCTCTTTGGTGTGCTCTGACTTGCAAGGAAATATTCTTTGAGGACTTAAAAAAACAACACACACCACTTTCAAGTAAATAAAAGTAATTACAACTTCGTCATCACTCACCTCTAAGATATGCTCAGCCCTGTATTCGCGATCGAGCTGCCGAGATGTGGTATAAATCAGACCTGCCATGAGAGAAAAAGACCACGATCAGTTCCAAGAGCCCATATGCTGCTGTGCCTCGCTCACCTGCCATGCCAACGTGACCCGATTCTAAAGGTGATGCTGCCCTGAAGCAAATCTATGCCACAAGCAAAAGAAGCTCATAGATTTTTTTTTTAAAAAAAACACTTCCTGCCTCCCAACCATGGAAGTTTTCCATACTTCCTATATTAACCAAAATGATTTATTTCATTCCCTGGCACCTCCAACAAGTTTTCCCATTCATCTCACCGAATCGTGCAATATTTGAGGCCCTCCACCTCTGGAGATGCCATTTCAGGCTTTAGAGTGGAAGGATAATACGAATACTAATAATTATAATTATATTTATTTATTTATTTATTTATTTATTTTTTCTACCCCGCCCCAGGGCCATCTTAAGCATATCCGGTGCCGTGGTGCAAAGCTCCCTCCGGTGCCCCCCCCATTTCCCAGAGTTTTTTAGGAGCTGGAGGAGGCGGCTGGAGGGCGGCTCCTCCGGCAGGGAAGAAGCAGAGGCTGGAGGTGCCGCTTCCCGGCTCAGTTGGCTGCTTCATGCCGCGGTGGCCACTGCAGATGGAGGCTCCAGGCACGGCACTGCTTCAGCGCTGCATGGCAGAGGCGGGCGAGGGCGGCGAGCTGATGCCAGGAGGCGCCTCGTCCAGCCTCCGCCTCTTCCCTGGCACCCTCCAGAACTTGGCACCCTGGCGCCCCACGCCACTAGCCTCTATGGGTAAGGCGCCCCTGCCCTGCCCATCTGGCTGGGTTTCTGGAGGACTGAGAGAGCTCTCAGTGGGACACAGGAACTTAGGTTGCTAAGTCAGTCCTCTCATTCATCTAGCTCAGGGTGCTGGTATTCGGAGGCATACAGCCTTTGAGGTAGAATATAGCCATGAGCTTCCCTGGTGAGAACATTCCACAGTCAGGGGGCTACCACAGAAAAGGTCTATCCTCTGGTTGCCGCCACATGTGGTGGAGGGTAGCGGTGATACCACCACCTACATCCTTAATTAAGGATTAATAATAATAATTTAAAAAATCGTAAGCCAGCATTGTGAACTATGCTTCCTTCTTTCTTGTTACACTTGTACCTCCTCAGTCCTATGGTCCCTACATTGAAAACAATGCCAACAAGGCTAGGGCAGGTGTTGCTACATGCACATTCTGAGACGCACTTTATATTGTAAAAACATCGATTCCATTTTGAAGGCTGTAGATTTCAATCTTTCCTGATGTATGCATGTATGGTTAGCAGCATATCTTGTTATCTTCAGCTGCAAGAAGCTCTGGGAAATGTCATGGTTGTTGTTCAGCTTTCGCAAATGAAGTAACACTACATGGAAAAAACCCAGTCGATACTGTATTTTAGAGGAAGCTGACATGAGCAAGCTAACAGATAGGAGATAAGATCCAAGGGTGCCAGAAAGACAGATCAACATGCCTACTTGGAGGGATGGGTGAGTCTGTCAACTTCCGATTTTCTCAGTTTCCCCTTCGTCCAACTCTTACTCTCTACAAAAGTTTGCGGGTTTTTAAAAATCCCCGTGACCATTCAGCATTTTAGAACAAATTTCTAATGAACACATTTTTGCAGCACAAAATTTCACCTTCTAGACTTCATTTTCGGATGCTATTTTCACTAATGCATGCCTTTTAATGCATACTTGATTTGGCTGAAGAACGGCATTGCAGAATTCAGAGAAACAAACATTTCAAGGGAAGACTGTTTTGGTTCACATATTGTTTCAGAAAGCACAAATTAAGCAGGATTGCCTATAAATGCAAAGGGAATCCAATTTCTCCCTCATCCTTACTTACTGGTAACTGATCAGCCAAAGAGGTAGGATTGACAGGCTTTAAACTTTATTATCCTTTGAGATTACTATAATTTCCTTAGCATCAGCGGCATTATCCTTCCCTCAGACTTCCAGAACTGATCCGCCCTAAGGATATAACAGCATCCTAATTATGGGAGTTGCAGTCCAACAACCTGTGGAGGACCACAAGTTCCCCATCCATGTCCTAGAGCAAGTAGTTTTACTAGAAAACCAGACAATGTCTGTTGATCCTTGCTCCCTCTATATACTTCTGTTCTCTCTAGTTTGGTCACTGGCATCATGCCTCTGAATCACCTTAAGGCAAGAGGTTAACTCTAGACCCATTGTTCACTGATCCAATCTCTCGCTTCATTTACCTGCTGTGGGGAAATATTCCTCTAAAGGTGAAGAGACAAGTTGTAAACAATGTGTTGACACAATCCGTTATTTCGATGGCAGCCTCTGCTAATTTGCTGTCATTTATAGCTGGTGGGGGGTGGGAAACAATGTTGCAGGGGCAGGAAACAGGAATTAAAGTGAGGAGGGATTTCTTTTTATCTCAGGATACATGATCTAAGCAGGGTCAGCCCGCCTACATATCAGAGTGAATTGCACCATATCAGATGGCACCATGAAAATGGGGAGAGGGGGGATGAAGGCAGGAATCAGTGCCTGAACGATGCCGCAACACACTGTAAAGTATTGGACCTACCAAAGGGGATGCCATTTGGGTTCCACTTCAGTCAACAGCATGCAGTATGCTGGCACTGGACCCAAGTCTTGAGGATAAAATATTGCACTTTAACCCAACAGACCAGTCTTCAAATCCAATTTTACCCATGATGACATATTGTTACTCCACTACACAAATACAGGTATTAGAAGTGCAGGAGGTCTGCCTCCCCAACCCCCTCTTAGTAACCTAAATGGAGCTCTCTAAACACTCTAATACTCACCTGAGGAACCTAAGATGAGCCCTGCTCAATAAGACCAAAGGCCCATCTAGTTTAAATGACTACTCAATACATTTTTGTTTAGGAAGGCTTTCCCTGAAGCGTAACCCAGCCATTGATGGAGTATTAATTTTATCGCCAATTAAATTGTTTTGTGGGGTTTGTATTGTTCTTAGAGCTTGTGTTTACGCACTTTATTCTCTTCTGATCTTGGATACCACTTTGATGGCTTTATGCTGTGAAGTGGTCCATAATCTTGTATAATAATAATCACGGACTCCAGTGTCCTGTTCTCACAATGGCCAACCAGATACCCATGAGAAGCAGGACTTAAGTGCAACAGAACTTGCTTGTGATTCCCAGTGACAACTGCTATTTGTCAGGGACTGGGCAGAGGAGGAACGGTGGAGACCGCCTCCCCATCCTGACCCTCCCAGGGAGGAGGAAGAGGAAGACAATATAGATTTACAACAGTGGTTTCCGGGAGGTCACAGCTCAGAGGCAGATGAGGGCGGGGGGGGGGTGTTGGGAAATAATGGGAGAGGAGGAGGAGGGGGCGGAAGTGGAGCAACAGCTGATGGACACGGTGTCATTGGAAAGCCTCCCAGACCCTCCATCTCTCAGAACCTGGCGAGCCTTAAAAGTAGGAGACCAACGAGCTCAAAGACAGAGGGCATGTAGCAGCACCCGGAGAAGTGACAAATGAGAAAATGGGAGACACGGGGGGTGGAGATTCACTCGGGACATCACCATTATCCAAAAGGCTGGGTTCTATAACCTCTCTCTGTAAATATTGAATTAAAAAGAACGGTAAGAAACTTTCCCTTGTCTTTATACTTTCCTGGGCAACCAGACAGGAGCCGCTGACAGCATCCTGACACTATTCAGTGGGAATCTGCCTCCAATGCTGCAGGGAGCACATAGCCATCATGGCTCCTTTGGTCCATAGATTCCAGTTCATCCTCATAACTTCTATACAGGCCTGGCCTATGCAACTTGTGACCCACCAAACTGAGCACAGTCCATCAGTCATGTATAGTATAGCCTACAAGAGGCTTTATATCTTGTTATTACTGTTTCTCTGGGACTACAAAAGGCATGGGATTGACTAGCGACAGCAATGCAAGACACGTGAGTTGGGTTTTGGTTTGGCAGGTTGCAAGTTGTGCTGAGCAGCTATAGGCAGAAGACGATTCCATGGGAAAACAGGACGTGCTATCCAGCTCCAGGGATTGTGATGTAAGTATTTGGAACAGGGCTTCAGTTAGCAGTCATTACTTGTTCATTACTTTCTCCCTCTGAGGGATTATGGATATTTGGCTTATAAACTACGTTTAAAACCAAAGAACACAATGTGTTACAACAAGACAAATTTAATGGACTCTGCATAGAGCCCACGTCTGGGCTGCTGTTTGTTTATTTCATCCTTATATCTAAGCATGAGCAGAAGATCCCAAGGGCAACAACGAAACTATAAAGGAATGTTTGCATTCCTCTTCGCGGCCATGAAGAAAGCTTCGGGCAAAGCACTTAAGCATGTGGTCTCTGAAGTGCAGCCCAAAGGTCTTTGCAAAATTGGGTCCTACATATGGAGCCAGGATGACTCATGCAGAGCAGAGAATGAACGCACCGTGCGGAGGTGCTTGTTGACAGCAGCCCCTTACAGATGTTCTAAGTGTGCAGCGTGAGCACACACAGGTGAGGAGGAGGCTGGCATCCTGGCAACAACTCCACCTCTTCCTACACGTATTCAGTCCACACACTGAAGGCCAAATTAGATGTGATGCTATTAATGTCCTCCCATACCAGTGTTTTGGTCCTTTGGTCCTTTTTTGTCCTCACTGCTACAGCAGCCTGTCTTCTCTCACTCTAGGCCCAACTGAGGAACTCAAGGAAATGGTGGGAGCACCTACTGCTGTTCCTCCTTCTCTTCACCCCAACTTCTTCACTAGGCTGGGCAGGATGGGCAGGCAGTGAGGAACCTGCTGGGGTGTCCTAGCATGCAACAGTGAGCCACTTCACTGAGCTGTGGGCCTTACAACTGTTTGAGGGAGCCAACCCCCTGATGCCAGCCATGTCCCAACCTCCTGGCCAGGCATCTTATTCCATATTACCCTCCCCACCATCTAAAACCAACAGCTGAGGCTTTTCCTTTTTCTCTGTTATAAGTGAAGCAGGTAAAAACTAGAGAGAAGGCCCTTTCAGGCTTGGCACCCCATATATTGAATGTCCTCACCTGGCACAAAGGCTCCAAATCTTGTTTGTACTCTACGGTTTCTTGCATTTTGATATTTTTAATCCTGGAAACTAACCTGAAACCAACTTCAGTTGTTTAGAATATAAATATTCTAAACAAATCAACTGACTGTGTGACTCAAGGTCCATAACATAATGGGCTTCCCCACCCATGAACCATATCAATTGAGGCTGCTAATTATGGCAAGAAAACCCACAGCATTTGACTCACATGGCACACTCATGGCTTCCCCAATGGGGAATGGGGAGCTCACCACAAGGATCCTGGTTTTGATAGCAAAACTAAAGGCAAATTCTCCATCAAGAGCAGAATGGGCAGGTAGAGACAGATTTGTGTGGTAATACGAAAAGTGACTCACTGCGGTTTTGGTGCTCTGCAGAAGCTGAGTGTTCCTCCTATATTTTATGACCTCATTTACTTGTGAGTAAGCTTTAAAATAAACTAACAGAGCAATAAGAAATTGCCACTTTTCCCTCACTCACATTTGGAAAAAAAAAATCAGAAATACATCACAACACTGATTGAAAGGGTTCTCATCCCAATTCCCGTGGCTTCTGTGAAGCTAAATAGCTGAAGTCTGACAAAATTAAGAGTGACTACACACACACACACACACACACACACACACACACACACACACATATATAAAATGCTGTAATGGAATAGTTTAAGCAATTGCAACAAGACCTTTAACTATTTGCTGTCTCTCAGCCTATTGTGCACCAGAGGGAGAACTATATACAACAGATTGAGTTCCTTGTAAGAAAGGTGGAATAGAAATGTAATAAATAAAAGTAAAAAAGGAAGCTTCACAGGACAGGGAGACAGCACAAGGGAGAGGAATCCTAAAACTGGTATCATATGAGCTGTGATGAAGAATAATGCAGTAGATGACACAAAAGCAAAGAACTAATAATTTTTACTCTGCTGGATTGCTGGTATGAGATATTAAAAATATATAAAAAGGAAGAAAATTAGTTACTTCCTGAAATGTAGCACCTTTATTCTTATTAATTTATTTTTAATTTTTACTCTGTGCTGGAGTAATACAAAGAACATGCTGAAACAAACAAACAAACAAACAAAAAACCCTAAACAGAGAAAATGTACAGTGAGAAGCCAAGTGTGAAGGCTGATGCACAATTTTTTTAACAAATCAACATCCCAAAATTATTGTTTTGCTGGAAAACAACTGGAGAGAACCCAAAGCATCATGGAACTTTTGAATAATAAGAATAGAACTGGGAGAATCTGTAACTAATCCTTATTACATGGAGCCCCTTTGGGGCATTTGCAAGGGAGAATTGGCAGCTACCTATTCCTCCCACTACCAAACTCTTCTTTGCAAATGTCTCCCGCCATTTTTTTACCCTAGCCACAATTAATTCTGGTTTAAGAGCCTGGAGAAGCATTTGCAGGGGAGAATCTTTAGGTGGGAGAAGACAGAGCACCTACACCCTCTTCCTGATGCTCCCATAATGCACAATGACCACGTTAAATCAGGAGTAATACGTCTGCCTTCCCGCCCCCTCCTCCCTGCTTTGGGGTTTATTTCCCCAATTTCTCTCATCCTGCTTTTAATTGTTTTGCTCCCTGACAAGGCAGTTGTACTTTTAGAGGGAGATCTTGTTTGGCTGCCCTGTGATTCCAGTCCATGCCACACACCCCACTGATTTCCTTACAAGGTCTGTTAAACACCCTGTAATGAGATATGAGAGCAATTGTGGTTAATGGTTAATTGCACTAATTCCAAAATAGAGCTGTGATGCTTTTGCTCCTGCACACAAATATGAGATGTGTTGACATGGATCCATGTTCACAGCACATCTAGGAAGATGCAGTGACATGGAGCTGGCATTAAGGAGAAACTAATTAGAGTGTATGCACTTTCTTATTTAACTGCTGCTCATTTTCCTATAAAAAGCAAAGGGTTAGAAATACAGGCAGGGTGCAGCATCTAAAGCTTTTGTTCCCCCAAAGATATACACTTTTATTTTTTGCCACTTTAGACAGAAAAAAATAAATTCTTTTTCACTATTAATAAGCATGCTGTCCTTCTTCACTACACTTCACATTTTTAGGTGTACACCTAAGATGTTTTGAATGAATACCTACAAATCTAAAGTGTCAATGTGACTAAAATATTTGGAAAACTGATGTCCAGAGCATAAACATTACTGTTTTATTTAGCTGGACTTGGTGGTAGTGGTGGATTGAAGGGAGGTGTCCCTCTTTTTGGTTCTCTCGGCTGAGCTGGTCTCCTGCCAGTCCCTGCGGTGCTGAGTGACCTTTGCCTTTAGTCCCCACTGAATGGGCAGTTTGGCAGGAGATTAGAAGTTTGTTAGAATTCCTGCTCCGTGATTACAGTCATGGGATTTTTGTCTGTCACACGACGGTGTATGTTTTGACTCCACAAAGTGGGAAGTGACGGAGACAAGATGTTTGTGTTACTGTGTTCCGTGAAGTGGGACTATTGTCCTTTGTCCTTTCTCTTTGCTGTCTGATGCTAGAGAGAGAGGGAGCCATGTTGCAGTGCTCCGTGTGTGTTTATATGTAAATAAAGTAGATTAGCCAAAATGTTGTGTTGCTGAGGTCTGTTACGCAAGCTGCGCAGACTCTGTGGATCCCTAAGTGTGCCGATGTCTGTTGGCATCGGTCACTGTGATGCTCACGATGAAGAAAGCTTTTGAACGAACGATCGACCAGGAGGGAGAGAACATGCCAGTCGGGCATGTGTCTCTGCCAGGGTCCTACTCGAGTGTAGGACGAGCTCCTGACAGTTTCCCTGCCAGCAGAATCCAGTGGAAAGCCCTGGGGAAGAGGTGGAGCTGAACCAACCCAGGAGCCACTGGACCTCACACTCTGGAGCTGGGGCAGGGATCAGCTCCGATCATCCAGCTTGCCACCTCCCACTACGATGTGTGGCCAAGCTGTGAAGGTGACTCTACTGTTTCTCAAAGCCACAAGGGTGAAGAATGCAGCCCTACATACTGTAAATAAACAAGCCTTTGGGTGGGTTTAGGAGTTAGAAGGCGGGCTTGACCCTCAAAATGTATTCATGAAGCAATATTCAACACATTTTCAAGTATCTGTGTACAGTGGTACCTCAGGTTACATATGCTTCAGGTTACAGACTCCGCTAACCCAGAAATATTACCTCGGGTTAAGAACTTTGCTTCAGGATGAGAACAGAAATCATGCAGCAGCGGCGCAGCAGCAGCAGGAGGCCCCATTAGCTAAAGTGGTGCTTCAGGTTAAGAACAGTTTCAGGTTAAGAACTGACCTCCAGAACGAATTAAGTTCTTAACCCAAGGTACCACTGTACAACCATGAGTTAAAGACGTTTTTGAAAGGCCGAGAGTCCTCAAATCCCTCATCTATTGATGCTGCTAACACTGCATTGGCATAATGTAACATCTGTGCCCTCTGCCTAAAATCACCAAGCGGGAAATGACTAGCGCGCTAGGTCTCTTAGAAACGCTGGGGCAATCCTTCCAATTAGGCTGTTGCCCTAGTTAATCGGTAACCTGAGTGGCTTCATTACTAAACTCCTGAAAAGCCCAGCACCAAAGTGTTTATGTTGATCAATCAATTTGGATTACAAATGGACTGACGCCTGACTGTAGCTCTGAAGTGTCCTCCACGCTCACTGCAGAATTGGATTCAGGTAGTTCTGTGTCTGTGTGCTCTACATAATTCAAAGGCCTCTCAAAAGCAGTGTTTTCCAGTCACAGAAAAAGAGTCTAGTAGTGTTTTGCTGATTTATAAGAAACTTAGAATCCTTCCTTGCTAAGCTTTCCCTGCCCACTTCCCAAATCCTAGAATTAAAAAGGTAAAGGTAAAGGGACCCCTTGCCAACAAAGGTCCGTATGAGAGTCCCATGGACTGCAAGAAGATCAAACGTATCCATTCTTAAGGAAATCAGCCCTGAGTGCTCACTGGAAGGACAGATCCTGAAGCTGAGGCTCCAATACTTTGGCCACCTCATGAGAAGAGAAGACTCCCCGGAAAAGACCCTGATGTTGGGAAAGATTGAGGGAACAAGGAGAAGGGGACGACAGAGGACAAGATGGTTGGACAGTGTTCTCGAAGCTACAAACATGAGTCTGACCAAACTGCGGGAAGCAGTGGAAGACAGGAGTGCCTGGCGTGCTCTGGTCCATGGGGTCATGAAGAGTCGGACACGACTAAATGACTAAACAACAACAAAAGGGACCCCTGACCATTAGCTGACAGTAAATCTTAAATTTGATCTGGGAGGTGGAAAGGGATCAATCAGGTGAGCAGGACTTGCTTAAACCAGGATGAGTAAATTATGGAGTCCATCCTTTCCCTGGCTGAATTAAGGTCGTTGACGTAAGGTACCCAAGAGATGACTGTGGTACAAACTCTTGGTTGTCATAGCTTCCTCTATGGAATTACAGGTGCTGCCATTTTGTAAAGGTGGTGGGTATTCTTTAAAATAATGTTTATTCTTTGAATTCTTGTTTGGTTTTTCTTACTTTGAGTGGGATTGAAAAGGAAATGCTGCCTGCGTAGCAGATAAATGTCACAAATAAATACATTCTGTTTCGGTGCTTCTGAGCATATTTGGAAATTCTGTGATTCTGTTGCATTTCAAAAGAACAAAATTGCCACATCGATATGTCACCTTTCCTCCAAGGAGACATCCATGTCCCCCCAGTTTTATCCTACAATAATCCTGTGACACAAGTTATACTGAGAGACTGTGGCTGACTCAGGTCACCCAGTAAGCTTTATGTCTCACTGGAGATTTGAACCCAGGGCTCCCAGGTCCTCACTCAGCACTGTATTAGCTAAAGGTGAAGGGACCCCTGACCATTAGGTCTAGTCGTGACCGACTCTGGGGTTGCGGCGCTCATCTTGCTTTATTGGCCGAGGGAGCCAGCGTACAGCTTCCGGGTCATGTGGCCAGCATGACTAAGCCATTTCTGGTGAACTAGAGCAGCACACAGAAACACCGTTTACCTTCCCGCCGGAGCGGTACCTATTTATCTACTTGCACTTTGACGTGCTTTCAAACTGTTATTACAGTGGTGCAAATGGGCCCTGAAAGTACTTCTGTGTGTGCTGAATTGTCCTTTAGAATCTGCTCAGGCCTTAGAAAATGGTACATATTCTCCCATTGTGTGATGGGGAATGAGTGACTACACTTCATGGAAAAGCAACTGACCTGCATATGATAGCAGATTTTGCCATGGTGTTTGTGTCTCAGAGAGAGCTACCTACATAATTTCTAAACCACGGGGGCAAAGCCTCTGGGTTTCTTGACTCCTGGTATGGAGTTTGCTACCTACATGGCTGAGCTCACATGTAGAGAATTGGGAACGTAACATTTCTGCCTGCAGTTATGGAATGCCTGGCTTCTGCTTTTCGTCAAGCAAAGAGAAAGAACATCTAGTCATGTCAGAACAGAAGCAGAAATATTAACACTGCACAGTTGGCCAAGCATAAACCCGCCCCCCCAATTTCTCTTGGCAAAGGTGGAGCTGAGGACAAAGTCCTGGTCCAACCTTATTAGAACTTAAGGATTTAAAAGAATGCGAACCAAGTTACTGGGCATGTCTGTGTACGTTGTGGGAGGGGGGTCCCAACTAGATGAGGTTTAAGTGGTTTGCCTAAAATTTGCTGCTTTAGCAACAATTTGCATTCCTTTTCCTTTGAACTCCTAGGGACTGAGAGTGTGAAAACATAATTCTCCCCACCCATCCAGATCCTGTAAACTCCCACAAATTGCAGCATTTGGTTTAGGGTCCAGATTTTTCAGGATCCAGCTTGTGTGTTTGAAGAGGATGACCAACATGGTTTCAAAAAGAGCATTGCTCCTGACTCAAGTTACTCATCACCTGACACGTTGAACCTATGCAATTTCATAAGCTGTGGTCGACATCTTTCAACATCTTCAGAGAAGCCTAGACCAATGCAGATATCAGGGGCTAGTATCTTATTGCTTTTGGTTTGCAAGAAGCAGGTGTCCATAGCAAACACTTATAATATAAATGCATATATGAAGTTAGTGGCTAACTGCTGCAAATTGTCTTCTGCTACACATTGTATTACATACTGGGGATTGTGGGGTGGTGGCAATATTAAACCAGCTTTTCACTTTGCTGAATATGTGTGTAACTGGGATGTTACTTCTCTCTTAACCAGGAGTAGGCAACCTAAGGCCCGTGGGCCAGATGCAGTCCAATTGCCTGCTCAATCTGGCCCGCGGATGGTCCGGGAATCAGCGTGTTTTTACATGAGTAGAATGTGTCCTTTTATTTAAAATGCATCTCTGGGTTATTCATGGGACATAGGAATTCGTTCATTCCCCCCCCCCCCAAATATAGTCTGGTGGACTGGCCCATGGCTAAAAAAGGTTGCTGACTCTTGCTCTTAACCGTAACTGATTTAACTTTGAAGCTGTCAAGCCTGCATGTAGGTTGACTGTAAACAGTGCAGACTGGTACTAAAAGAACTTAACTGTGTGGAAGCAGTCCCTCCCTGGGGTGGGGGGGGGCATTTCAGAACATCTACTTGTCCATACACAGAAGCAGAAAGGGAGATAATCTGAGTCAGGAGTGGGCTTTTCTACATGTACCTTTTGGGTTCGTTTTCCATCATTCCTAATTCCAAGAGTCAAATCCAGGAATGTAAGACTTGATAATAAAAGGCAGCAGATTATGTTTTGGAACAGCCTGAGCATGCAGAGGCTTGCTGCAGGAGGAAAGGTTAGAAATCCAAGTTCTCCAGTTACTACAAAAGCATTCGATCCAGTATCATCCACTATTCTTCTCGCTGAATGCATCCGTTTCTTTAGAGATCTTCTCTTCCAAGCATTAACTGCCGTTTGCCAGTATCGCATAACAGGAGTCTCAGTCAGCAATGCAGGGCCTGCTTTTAATGCCCTTTATTCTCTCTCTCTTTCTCTGTTTGTGTAAACATATCCTTTGCATTATGAGCAAACTTCATCTCCAAGTGTGGAGCCTTATGTAGCTAAACTGGCATTATCTTGTGCGCAAGAAGGATGCGTCTGTTGACAACAGGCTTTAGAGATCCCCGAGATTTGTAGAAGATGATTAATTCTTCAATTAATTAAAATAATAGAAAGAAACCCTCTAAGAAAGAGGGAGCCCAAATGGCTCAATGTGGGTGGCAGCTGCGTCCACACATTTTATTGCAGAATCAATGGAGATTGTGCACTTGGTTTTTTCTACAAAGTCCACCTACCATATAGATCTACTTTGCATTCCTTTGTCCCTAAAAAGTGGTTCTTGAGAAAAGGGTTTCATTCCAAAAATAAAAGCTCATTGGAGATTTAATTTTGTATCATCTTGTGTCCATCTGAATACCGATGCAAGCGGTCCCAGCTGCCCAGTGATGTTGTGGGTATGCATATCACAGTCACCAATTCCTTCTTTGTACACCTGGGGGTGTGCAGAGAAGAAAAGGTGTTGTTAACCAAATCGTGGGAATGGTATCAAGGAACCACACTCACCCTTGCGGACAGCAGCATCTAGAATTAATCCAGATTGAAAGCGGCATATTAAGGCAGAGCATCAATGATTCTGGATTGAGAAAAACTACATATTTGTGCTTCAAATGGGTTAGTGTAGACACAAGCTGAGCATGCTCAGTAGCCATGGAATGCTGACAGGGGTTGTGGTGGTAAAAGAACAACAACAGGGAGAGAGGGGAAAGGGAATGGAATATCTTGGAAAACATACTGCAACACATCTCTATTTTCTTTCACTCTCTCCCTCCATCTTTCCCTCTCTTAAAAAGGAAAAGAATAAACCAAGGGTAGAGCAATGGGTGTAATCTACCAAATCAGGAATGCAACCTAGCTTAAAGATGAATGATATAACAAGCTGCTCTTCACAATTAGCCCTGACAAGGCCTGCGGCGGGAAAATGAGCAATATGTGGTTGGAGAAAAAGACAAGACTAGCCAGTTTATGGCTAATCCATAATGTGTAGATTAATAGATCTTGGTTAAAGTGATGCCTGATGCAAAGAAGAATTCGGAGCAATTTCACCAACCAAATGACAGCATAATACACAAAAGCTGAGCTACCCTTTGAATCAGGAAGCGCCCAAAGAAAAAAATGTGACCTTGAAAGGAAGCTGCTGCACTGGCTGGTCCTGGTTGTCATTCCAGTCAAGCATGTGTTCCAGAAGGGAGAGTTCAAGAAAATAAGGTGAAGGGGCTTGCGCTCGCACTTGTACAAAGAGATGCATTGCGGCTTAATGAGATTGCCTGGAGAGTTCTCTAAGTAACCCAACATTGTGGAAGACAGCTTGGGGTTAGTTGATGGTGAAAGAAAGGCATTCTGTACATGCCCAGAAACCTAAAACAGCCATTTTATTATTATCTAAGAATCACACAGATTTGACAGCAGAAGCTCTTTCGTAAAGAGTTGAAGTGTTACTAACATTTTATAAGGTTTACCAAAAGAAACATTATAACTGTGTAGCAGACCTATTTAATTAACACCGCATTTTTACACCAAATCTTTTGTTTTCAATATCTTTAAGCAGGAGGACCCTGGTATTATTCCTGGATACGTTAGTTTGAGGCCCGCAAACTGCCATAGACTGTGATCCAAAGACGTGTGGATAGATGGAGCTTTTTTGCTACTTTGTACAGCTCAAAATCCAACCTGTTGCTGCATTTCAGAAGCAGCTGGCCTACTTGGCTGCTTGAGCTGCAGCAAGAAAAGCTTCAAAGAAAATTCCAGCTGAATGCCTGGTTCCCGAGCACATGTGCAAATGGCTTCTTTGGACTGTAAAAGCTCCCCAGTGAGAAAGCACTTGGCAAAAGCTCAGCTGGGCCATCAGCTCAGGTAGGGATATAAATCCATTGCCAGCGGCAGGTAGTTTGAAGTGTCACAAAGGAGCTGCAAACTGCTGCCGTGTGGCGCAGGACTTCAGCCAATTCTGGCTCATCTCCCAAAAATCTATCCAACTTCCTTAGCTGACATTGCCCTTTGCACATGCATCTCATTCACCTATGCCTTCCACACTTTAACAAATCCCTCACATATGTAACTAGGGTCATCATTCCTCTCTTCTAGCACCTTAACTATCTAGAACAGAACTAAAGAGAGAACAACAAAAACATAATACTGAAACTTTGACATTTCATGTGGCTGGGTGGAAGCCAATGTCTTGTCAGAGCTCAAGAATTAAAAGAAATAATGCATTCATACAAATCTATGGTGTGTTCACACTTGGAATAATAATAATGATGATAATGATAATATAATAATTATTACATTTAATAATAATAATAATAATAATAATAATAATAATAATAATATAATAATAATAATAATAATCAAATATTTTAAACTTCCCTAAACAGGGCTAAGTAGGGAGCCAAGAGATAAAAGGAACAACTGGCAAGTTTGGCCTTGGAGTTCAAAACGAAGCAGGGCAAAGGCTAATAGAGTTCTGCCAAGAGAACAAGCTGGTGATCACAAACACTCTTTTCCAACAACACAAGAGATGACTCTACACATGGACATCACCAGATGGGCAGCATCGAAATCAGATTGATTATATTCTCTGCAGCCAAAGATGGAGAAGCTCTATACAGTCAGCAAAAACAAGACCTGGAACTGACTGTGGCTCAGATCATCAGCTTCTTATAGCAAAATTCAAGCTTAAACTGAAGAAAGTAGGAAAAACTACTGGACCAGTAAGATACAATCTAAATCAAATCCCTTATGAATATACACTGGAAGTGAGGAACAGGTTTAAGGATTTAGATTTGGTGGACAGAGTGCCTGAAGAACTATGGATGGAGGCTCGTAACATTATACAGTAGGCAGCAACTGATGGGCATTTGATCTTATCCACAGGACAATCTTTGTGTAGGAGGTTCTGGGGTGTGCCATCACTGCATGAAACCTTCTGGCTACGTAAAAATATTGACTTTTATTCTGTTATATGCCATGCTTCTCAGGACTGCTCATTTTACAGTTAATGGAAACGGTTGTTGAATTAATTAATTCATATGGATTTAACAGATTTTTTGTATCCTTGCTCTGGTTTGGATATGATTTTGATCTTTACCTGTTTCATTTTTTGATATATTATTCTTGGCCACATTTATTGATCATTCTGATATGTTGTGGTCTACTTTTACTTCCCTTGGGAAGGAGAAGCAGGTTGTAAGCAACAGATGAAAAGAAATCAAAAGACAAAGCAGTTTAGAAGCAGTCAATGAAATGAAACTGAAAAGATACCAGGCATGCCAGCTACTGGCACTAGTCGTGGCAAAGGTTGTGCCAGAGTCTGCATGCTCCTATTTAAATGCTGTAAATCACAAACTACAAAGCCAGTTTTGCCGCCTGAAGACAACATGGTGCATCAACAATTCTCTCCTACTGTCAGCCACAAACTCAAAACTAGGGAACTATTCCAGTACACTTCACCCATATCCCTAATATACACATACAGCAGCCCAACTGGGAACTCATCGCCTCCACATCGTGCAGTGAATGAAGCCAATGTCTCTAGCATTGCGTCACTTACAGCAGGAGTGCTTTGTTTAAAGACTGGCCCAACACCAGACCCAGAAGACTACTTTTCAGAGGCAGTTTACATTAAACACTGGTAGGATTTGAACAATCTGGATGGATCTGTTCCCTAAGCTAGAGATGACACAGACATAATGGAGGCGAAAGGCTGAGTTGATACCTCCTCTGCTAACACTGACAAAACAAGGGAAGTGATAGACACAGCTCAGATTTATAGAAATGGTAAAGCAAGGGGAATTTAGCTAGTGTTGATAGCAGTTTGCATTGAATACGAATGCTGAAGCCTGAGCTTCTAAAAGGCCATTTCTTGTCAGTGTGACTGCTCTTGATGCACAAACTGACTCCCAGTTCCCACAATAACAACAGTGGTTTTTGGTTGTTGTTTTTTAATTCAAGAAAGTAACTGAACACCCTGGGACTCACTTTATTTTTATTTTTTTTGATTGTCAGCTGTTTTAATCTGTGTTTAGCACTGTGTTTCAGTTGTTGTGACCCATCCTAGGACCTTAGGGAGAAAGGGCAGGTAATAAATTACAACAACATCAGCAACATCTGGAAAGCCACAGGCTTCCCTTGCATGGTGTGAATGAATTCTCAATATCCTAAGACCTATATTCAGACAATAGTAGCCTATTCATGTTTTAAACTCATTGCACTGAAAAAGCAATGATCAATATTTTTTATGTTTTCTCATTCATCTATCTTCCACCTGCTCCAAGCGAGGAAGCCAAGCAAGAAACATTTGTTCCCTCTAGACATCTGAACATTTTATTTGTTTGTGGTGACCAGCAGTGGGGGGGGGGTGTCTTTGACAGAATTGTAAGTATTTTCTAATAAGCAGATACCATACTGAGATTGGGTCTTTGTAAATGGTGGGCATTACCAGACTTTACTCCTTGTAAAACAAACCTCATACACATTAGGAAGGATTAAAAAACAAACACAGAATCTGCATGTGTTTATTCCTTACCTGTGACAGGATTAATGGCGAAGAATCTATTATGGTTTTCATTTATGATGTGGAAGGTCAGCTTCCCTTGGGAGCCAGAATCTGGGTCAGTAGCTTCAACCTGAAGGATGGAGGTGTTGGCTGGGGAATTTTCCATGACAGAGGCATAAAAGATTGGTCTCGACATCTGAGGCGGATTGTCATTTACGTCAGTGACTTCAATGTAAATGTCAACCACAGAAGACAGAGGGACTGATCCTCTATCAACAGCTAGCACCGTCAACCAATAATGACTGTTGGATTCTCTGTCTAGTGGACCTGTGGTAAAGATTGTACCTAAGAGAAATAAAAAAAGGGGGATATATGGATTCCACAATTAGAAATATATATATATATGTATATAAGAATCCCTTTCAAAAATTAAAGTAAGTGGATTTCTTACTCTGAAGCCCTTTAAAGACAAAGTAGCCCACGCTTTCTCAACCTTGGCCCTCCAGATGTTTTGAGACTACATTTCCCATCATCCCTGACCACTGGTCCTGCTAGCTAGGGATCATGGGAGTTGTAGGCCAAAAACATCTGGAGGGCCGAGGTTGAGGAAGTCTTATAAACACAGATAATACTAGGATTTTTTAAAAAATAAAATGCTGGCAAATGAAAATTTCAGGCCAAACAACCCATGCCATTTAAGCCATTCTTTCTATCTTGTCTAGTGTCCTATTATTATTATTATTATTATTATTATTATTATTATTATTATTATTATTATTATTATTACCTGTGTCCTTTTCAATATCAAAGACAGCCAAGCCTGTTCCCTCTCTGATGAAATACTGGATTTCTCCATCTTTCCCTTTATCGCCGTCTTGCGCTATCACTGTCATCACCGATGTCCCCTCTGGTCTGTTTTCCTTCACCGACCCTTCATACACGAAAGAGGCAAAGCGAGGCGGGTGCAAGTTTTCATTGATGTCCAGAACATCAATCTCAATATGGCAGAGGGAAGAAAGAGACAGGGGCGTCCCAGCATCGCTGATTCTCACAGTTAGATTGTAAGAGTCCCTCTTCTCATAGTCCAGCTCTTTTTCCAAGATCAGGGCCCCTGTAAACTCATTCAGGTGAAACATATCCTCATCATCTCTGAACAGGCTATATTTCAGCTCTCCTCCAGATGCAATATCTGGATCAAAGGCTTCTAGGAACAGCAATGTTGTCCCAAGGGGCAGGTCCTCAGGAACTTTCACCTTATTCAAGGCTGGGATGCAGCGTGGAGAATTGTCGTTTACATCTTCCAAAGAAATAACCAGATCAGCCACTGCAAAGAGCTGCTGGCCTATTAGTGGCTGGTCTCTGGCTTCAACTTTTAATATGTAATGAGGACACGATTCTCTGTCAAGGGGAACAGTCACTGCTACTTCACCAGTGATGCTATTGATGTCAAATTTATCAGAAGGTGCCAGAAAGGAATATTTCACTCTCCCATTGTCATTTGTATCCGCATCATCGGCTTTCACCACGGTGATGGTTGTGCCTATTTCTACATCCTCTGGTATAGTAACCAAGTATGTATGTTGTGAAAATTTAGGAGCGTTATCATTTGTATCCAGAATGTTTACCGCTAGCAACTTCCAGGAAGACTTCTGAGGAATGCCAAGGTCATACACTGTAATGTTAAGTACGTAGAAACTTGTTCTTTCATGGTCCAAAGGAGAGGAGACCAGGAGGAGACCCGTTTCTGTGTCAATGTAAAAGCGACCATCCTCATTCCCAGAAGATATTACATAGACCATCTTTCCATTAAAGCCAGTATCACCGTCTACAGCTCTCAGCTGTGCAATGGTTGAGTTGACTGGGATTGTCTCCATTATATCAATAGATCTTGGGAAGGCATCATCGAACTGTGGCACATGATGGTTTATAAGATGCTCATTCAAGGAGGAGTCTTCATCTGGTTTTTGCTCTGGAGACTGGGATTCAATAGAGTGGATCATGCTCTTAGTTAGTTCCTTAAGGACCCCAGTATCCTCACACTGAAAGTCTACATGGGTATCCTGGTAGACCACAGTGATATTTACATAGGTTGGGAAAGCAGAGTTTTCTCCATCTGTGGCCGTGATTTTTAAAGAGTAGGATGTCGCTAGTTTATCATGGAGATCTCTTAGAGGAGCTCTAAGAGAAATCACCCCAGACACAGGATCCAGTTCAAAAAGCTGCCTCTCATTGCCAGACATGATTTCATATTTGATGGGCTGAAGCTCGTCATTATCAATGGCTGACACTGTGATCACAGAGTGGCCAACAGGTAAGTCCCATGGAATACTTGCATTGCAGTTAATCTTCTCAAATGCTGGGGCATTATCATTCATGTTATTCATTCTGAGGGAAACGAAAACCTCAGTCTGAAGGCGAAAAGGAGACCCCGAGTCTGATGCCCAGACACGCAAATGGTACAACCTCTGCATTAGCTCATAATCCATTAACTTGGAGATGGAGATGACACCCGAAAATGTGTCAATGGCAAATGGAACAGCTCTCTGGTTGGCTATGGTATATGTGATGAAACCGTTCTCCCCAGAGTCACTATCTGTAGCCTTCACAGACAGGATGCTGGTGCCCAGAGGCAGATTTTCATCAAAGCTGCCATGGTACGATGGTTGGTTGAAGCTTGGAGCATGGTTGTTGCAATCAATAATACCAACCAAGACAGTGGCAAAGACCTCACTGTAACTTGTTGTAACTTTGAGTTCAAAGTGGGACTGTTCCTGGAAATCTATTAGTTTGTCTGTAGTTATCAGGCCAGTCTGAGGGTTGATTTTAAAGCTTGTGCTACCAGAACTGGGTTTCAGAATGTATTTTAGATTTGGGAGAACTGGACTAATCTGAACCATTGCAACATGACTGCCAGGAGGTGCAAATTCACTGAGCTGGACATGATACAGATCTTTTTCAAATCTCGCAGAGGCGTATTTGGAAGGTGGTATTTGAATAACTACAATCTGAGAAAGAAGAGGTGGCTTGTTTTTGTCTTTAGCCCGTAGGCTGAGATTAAAACCATGTGGGTTATCGTTCCAGTTGATCTCTCTGGCTGACACTATCATGAACTCATTACTTCCCACATAGGATCTAATGGATTGGAAGTGCCTCCTTGGATCTCCAGCCACAATGTCAACTGAATCTACCCCAGCTCCTGATCCATCTACTTCCACACTCAACGTAGCATAAAGGAGATCCTCAGGAGAATCGGATGGCCTCACCATCACTGAAGTTATAATGGGGGGTTTCTTGATAGATGGCTCCACCTGGATTGTAAGACTGGCCACGTTTCCAAAGCCACTTCCTTCAGAGATCTTCTTCATTCTGTCCACAGCCAGAACCTTTAACTGGTGCTTCCCCCTGTGGGTGGAGTTCAGTTTCACAGCAGTCATAATTACCCCACTGGTGGGGTGAATGGAAAATAGTGGTGACCTTGTATTAAATGCATAATAGAACTCTGCATTCTGACCAACATCAGCATCTGTGGCACTGACTGCACCAATGGAAGTTTTCAGGGGTGTATCTTCTTGGATGGTGACTTTATAAGAGGGTGGTGAGAACAGAGGCTTCAGGTCATTTCTGTCAAGGATGTGGATCAGAACTTTGGCCCAAGCCTCATAGGCAAATGTTTTCTCCAAGGCTTGGATTATTAACACGTACTTGTCTTTGAACTCCCTGTTCGGCCGCTCGGTATTACCACTTTTAGTCCTGATCCTCAAAAAGCAGAAATCTCCCACAATATGCTCCTCGGTTTTAAACAGGCCACTCGTGTCCCCAGAAGCAATCTTGTATCTGATGTCCCATGCTGGGTCTGTGATGTAAATGCCCATTTTGACATAGCTCTCCACATAGGTTTTGGGAGGGGAATTTTCATAGACTGTCGTGTTATAAAGGGGATAAGTAAAGTGCAACAGGGAAGCATTGCCTTTTTCTGAATTCCCTTCACAAGCCAGAAAAGATGTCAGGCACAGTGCAACAGTCACGGCGAGCCTCCTTGTTCTGATTTCCATTGCAGGCCCTAAAGGAAGGGAAACAAGAACAGTGAGGAGGTGGAATTGCTAAAGGGAAAACAAGGTACAGAAAAAAATAATACAGAGCTTAAGCTAAATGCAGTGGTGACCAGCAGGATGTGGTTGGGCTGTGCTGTTTAGCTGACTTCCTGCCATTTGCTGAGAGGGAGACAGGCAAGGCAGCAGGGAGGTCAGTGTGGTGTGGCTGCAGTGGTGGAAGCATCAGATTGGCTTTCCCCCTGCACCGCACCAACCACCTTACTGCCTCACCCATCTCCCTCACATTTCACTTCTCCTATACCTTGGTCACATTTCTGTCTCTCCTGTGTCAGAACCTAGCTTTTGAAAATTATTATTTAATCATTTTTTTGATATAAACAACAACTGCAAAAGACATATACAACAAAAACCATAATAACAATAATAACACAATTTGACAATTCAGATTTGAATACACTGATATACCTATGACCACACCTTTTAAAACAATATTTTCCCACATCTCTCTCTCCTCCCCCCTACTTCCCACCACTATCCGCCTTATCACTTAAATATCTGTTCCAGATTTCTTCATATTTATCCATTCTTATTTTGCGTTGACATGCAATTTGTTCGTATGTAGCTAATCTGTCCATATTATCAATCCATGTGCTCAATGGAATCTTTTTGGGGCTCTTCCAATTCATCAAAATAAGTTTTTTTGCTTCTAATATAGCACGGTACATCCATTTTTTGGACCCCTTGAAATCTCCAATGTTTCCAAAATATAATTTAGAATTAAATTCAATTCCCCTAAATAACAATTTTTTTTATTACTCTTGCTATAAATATCCTCACCTTGCACCAAAATGATCTTATCATCAGGCAGTTAATCATCATATGTACTAAGTTCACATTTTTACTCCCGCATCTCCAGCAGTTGTCTGCACTTGGTGTCAGAACCTAGCTGCCCTCTTTCCCTCCTTAATACATGACATGCTTTAGGGCTGGTCTCTTCAGTTACACATCATTTTGTTAGTGTTATTACGGATATCACAGAGAAAAGGGCTTAAGGCTAATCATAATACTGAAAATATTTTTGCGAAAAGACAGGTGAATGCTTTTTAAAATTTGCATTCAGGGATGAAAAGAGAGAATATTTACATACATTTTGGGTTAATTATAGGTGCCTATATTTACCCTGGATATCCCGGGAGATCTCTATCGGGTGCTGTTCCTTCCTGTTTTAAATTAAAAATCAATGATCAAGTACCTGCCAGATGTTTGGCACTATCCTGCCTTAAACAAGGCAGACTTGTTTGTCCAGACACTTTTTCAAGATCCAACATCCAAAAATAGTTTGCTTTTCACTTTAAGTCAAACGTACGGTGCACATAGCCATAGCCTCAGTTTGTAACTGTGCTGGTTATGTGTGTATGAGTCTCACTTGTGGAGATGCTTTATTAAACTAGATACAGCGGTACCTTGGTTGTTGAACTTAATCCATTCCATGGGCACACTGGCAGATTGACCAGATTGTCTTTGCTTATGCAACTGCATAACCCCAGCCTCACCCTGTCTCATCCCAATCTTCTAACTACTTAGGCTGCTACTGGATATAGAATTGGGCTATGGAGGGTGGGAATACACATAAGGATAAGATATTTTTTTGCCAACCAAAATGTCACAAAATTGCATGCAGTTCTACAAAACTCTTTATCAGACTAGATGGTAACAAAGCAGCAGCAACAAAAGGGACACACACACAGAGAGAGAGAGAGAGAGAGAGAGAAAGAGAGAGAGAGAGAGAATCTTGTAGTGAAGTCATTTGTCTCCATTTTGTAAGAGGCCAAAGATGAGGTCGGGAAGGAGGCAACAGTCAAACAAATGAGGTCTATTTGGTTGCCATTCAGGTTGTACTAGGGAGCAGAAACACACAATGGCTGTTCCCTTATCTAGGCAAATACCCAAACGAGTCGCGATCAGGTCTGTCCTCCATCCTTAGACAAAACACACAGGTTCCTTTGTAGGTGGGCAACAGGTAAGCAGAAGAAACAAAGGAAGACATAGATTTTAGGTGGAGTGCTATATTCCCCCCCCCCAAACAAAACCCCAATCAAAGCCAGATTGAGTAGCTTTACCTAACAGTTGGAGGGAATATAGATGCTTGAGATGTCAGGTACTGACCGTCAAATTGACAGTCTCCCTTGGGAGGTTATGGACTCTCCTTCCTTGGAGGTTTTTAAGTAGAGGTTGGATGGCCATCTGTCATGGATGCTTTAGCTGAGATTCCTGCATTGCAGGAGGTTGGACTAGATGACCCTTGATGGTCCCTTCCAACTCTACAATTCTATGAAATTTATTTGATAGAAACCAATGGTCATCAGAAAAATACAAACAGCAAAGAAGTACGTTTTAGAATACATGGCATCCTAGCATGCAGGACTCCTTGATATACAATGATATACAATGACATACAATGACATTTTGTCTGATGCTTTGGGCTGCTTAGGGAAACATAGAAGCTTTATATGTAGTGTATCTATTTCTATCAACAAATAGCAGATTTGCTCCCTATACTGTTATAAAGGAAATTCTCTAAAGAATTCCTTTGGGAATTCTACCCCTGGGAGAATAATACATGAATACATTGCAAGGAGCATAATGAAATATTTTTTCCACCTCTCCCTGGATGCAGATAAAGAAGCATTCTGGCATATGTCCCATCCAAATATGCTGTGGGCATAATTTGAAATCTCAAAGCTGTAAATGCCTCCCTCAGCATGTCAACCAATCGCTCAAAAAAAAAGCAATCTGGAAGACCATAATCTGTTTTCTCAGAATGATAAAATGGTGAGAACTGCATAGTTTGGAGATGACATCTAGCTAACAGAACCTCCCACACTTTATCTTAATTTATAATGCACTGTTTTTCAACTATAGGAGTAGCAAACTTGGAGGCATTAACAATCAGTCCATATTGGATTATGAGGGTTTTCACACCTGTACAGCTCTATTAGGGATGCGGGTGGCGCTGTGGTCTAAGCCACTGAGCCTAGGGCTTGCCGATCAGAAGGTCAGCGGTTCGAATCCCCATGATGGGGTGAGCTCCCATTGCTCGGTCCCAGCTCCTGCCAACCTAGCAGTTCAAAAGCATGTCAAAGTGCAAGTAGATAAATAGGTACTGCTCTGGTGGGAAGGTAAATGGTGTTTCCATGCGCTGCTCTGGTTCGCCAGAAGCGGCTTAGCCATGCTGGCCACATGACCTGGAAGCTGTACGCCGGCTCCCTTGGCCAATAAAGCGAGATGAGCACCGCAACCCCACAGTCGTCCTTGACTGGACCTACATGTGAAAAGGATCTAGGAGTCTTGGTTGACCACAAACTTGACATGAGCCAACAGTGTGACGCGGCAGCTAAAAAAGCCAATGCAATTCTGGGCTGCATCAATAGGAGTATAGCATCTAGATCAAGGGAAGTAATAGTGCCACTGTATTCTGCTCTGGTCAGACCTCACCTGGAGTACTGTGTCCAGTTCTGGGCACCACAGTTCAAGAAGGACACTGACAAACTGGAACGTGTCCAGAGGAGGGCAACCAAAATGGTCAAAGGCCTGGAAACGATGCCTTATGAGGAACGGCTAAGGGAGCTGGGCATGTTTAGCCTGGAGAAGAGGAGGTTAAGGGGTGATATGATAGCCATGTTCAAATATATAAAAGGATGTCACATAGAGGAGGGAGAAAGGTTGTTTTCTGCTGCTCCAGAGAAGCGGACACGGAGCAATGGATCCAAACTACAAGAAAGAAGATTCCACCTAAACATTAGGAAGAACTTCCTGACAGTAAGAGCTGTTCGACAGTGGAATTTGCTGCCAAGGAGTGTGGTGGAGTCTCCTTCTTTGGAGGTCTTTAAGCAGAGGCTTGACAACCATATGTCAGGAGTGCTCTGATGGTGTTTCCTGCTTGGCAGGGGGTTGGACTCGATGGCCCTTGTGGTCTCTTCCAACTCTATGATTCTATGATTCTAATGGTCAGGGGTCCCTTTATTAGAAATTTGCTCCAAATGACATGTTTTTGGGGTGACAGTGTCTGGCATATTCTGCTGTTTCAACCAATACAGAAGCAAAGCAGTATGATCTGCGGCCTGTCAGCTACTGAAAGAAGGGTTCATTTCCCCTCAAAGATGCTTGCCAACCCATATGCTGAGCAAATAATTTGAGGGACACAAGTGCTCTTAGAGAAAAATGACAGGTTTGGGCTTTGAGAACAAAAGGACGGACACACACACACACACACACACACACACACACAGAGCGCTTATTCTCAGCCAGAGAGCCATGATTTTAACAGTGCGGTTCATGTCACAACTTTAACAGGGTTGAAGAGTCAGGGAGCATGCAGGAACTTGTTTCTCTTTCTCTTGGTTCCTCATCTGCTGATCCTAGAAAGAAGCCATGCAAATGCTGGTGCCCTCAAGTCCTGTGAAGCAGGAAGGATTTCATGTCTCATACAGTAAACGAAATGAGCAGAGGCTTCATATGATATCAAAAGGGACGGGTCCTGCTGTGGAAGTTTAGGTAGTCAAAATTTGCATCAGGGCTTCTGGTCTTTCACAGGTGGTCTCCTTGCCCAGGAGTGGCCAGCTGGTGACAGCATGAATGCAGCACACTGATGTGATTGATGGGTATTCACTGATTTTGAAGTTCTATATTGTTGAGATCGATTCATTGTATTAACTGTAATGTTCAATGCTTTTGGTGGGGCTTGGGCCAAAAAGCAGTATATCAACCCATCTGTTTCTTACAGCCAATGACCACTATTCAAAAAGCAGTAATATAAACAAACCATACCACAACATGCCCTAACATTTCACAAGTCACGTGAACCAGCTTGTCATGTGCCAAGGCTCTAGACCAGGGGTGTCCAAACTTTTTTCAGAGGGCCAGATTTGATGAAGTGAACATGTGTGAGGGCCGACCAAAGTTACTGAGCTTTTAATCCACAGGGGGGGGATTAAATCGAC